GGCGATTTTTCTGAAATGCAATTTTTTTTCGATTTTGGAAGCTACAGAACACGGATTCAGCCCGAGGCTTTTCTCTACATATAATGAAGTCTATTGATCCTATTCTCCACCGATGATTAAGTCTGTTAAGCACCGAATTTGGCCAATTAAATTTGTGATGACATTTTCGTAATTTTTTGGGCGATTTTTTTCGAAAGGTCATTTTCCTTATATTTTGAACGCTACAGTTCACGGGTTCAGCCTAAGGCTATTCTTCAACGATGAATAATTCCATTAAGCACTGATTTAGGTGGATTTCTTCCGGGTCAATTTTTGGCAGATCCCAAATGGGTACCATCACAGATTTTAGGCGATTTTTCCGAAATGCGATTTTCTTTCGATTTTGGAGGCTACAGAACACAGATTCAGCCCGAGTCTATTCTCCACTGATAATGAAGTATATTGATCCTATTCTCCACCGATGATTAAGTCCATTAAGCACCGAATTTGGCCAATTAAATTTGGGATGGCATTTTCGTAATTTTTTGGGCGATTTTTTTCTAAAGGCTATTTTCCTTGGATTTTGAAGGCTACAGATCACAGATTCGGTCTGAGGCTATTCTTCAATGATTATTAAGTCCATTAAGCACCGATTTGGCCGGATTTCTTCCTAGTCAATTTTTGGCAGATCCCAAAGGGGTACCATCACATATTTTGGGCGATTTTTCCGAAATGCAATTTTTTTTTCGATTTTGGAGGCTAAAAAATAAAGATTCAGCACGAGGATATTCTCCCCCGATGACTAAGTCCATTAAACATCGAATTTGGCCAATTAAATTTCGGATGGCATTTTCGTAATTTTTTGGGCGATATTTTTTCTAAAGGCTATTTTCCTTGGATTTTGAAGGCTACAGATCACATATTCGGCCTGAGGCTATTCTTCAATGATGATTAAGTCCATTAAGCACCGATTTGGGCGGATTTCTTCCTAGTCAATTTTTGGCAGATCCCAAAGGGGTACCATCACATATTTTGGGCGATTTTTCCGAAATGCGATTTTCTTTCGATTTTGGAGGCTACAGAACACTGATTCAGCCCGAGTCTATTCTCCACTGATAATGAAGTATATTGATCCTATTCTCCACCGATGATTAAGTCCATTAAGCACCGAATTTGGCCAATTAAATTTGGGATGACATTTTCGTAATTTTTTGGGCGATTTTTTTCTAAAGGCTATTTTCCTTGGATTTTGAAGGCTACAGATCACAGATTCGGCCTGAGGCTATTCTTCAATGATGATTAAGTCCATTAAGCACCGATTTGGGCGGATTTCTTCCTAGTCAATTTTTGGCAGATCCCAAAGGGGGTACCATCACATATTTTGGGCGATTTTTCCGAAATGCTATTTTCTTTCGATTTTGGAGGCTACAGAACACAAATTCAGCCCGAGTCTATTCTCCACTGATAATGAAGTATATTGATCCTATTCTCCACCGATGATTAAGTCCATTAAGCACCGAATTTGGCCAATTAAATTTGGGATGGCATTTTCGTAATTTTTTGGGCGATTTTTTTCTAAAGGCTATTTTCCTTGGATTTTGAAGGCTACAGATCACAGATTCGGTCTGAGGCTATTCTTCAATGATTATTAAGTCCATTAAGCACCGATTTGGCCGGATTTCTTCCTAGTCAATTTTTGGCAGATCCCAAAGGGGTACCATCACATATTTTGGGCGATTTTTCCGAAATGCGATTTTTTTTTCGATTTTGGAGGCTACAAAATAAAGATTCAGCACGAGGATATTCTCCCCCGATGATTAAGTCCATTAAACATCGAATTTGGCCAATTAAATTTGGGATGACATTTTCATAATTTTTTGTGTTATTTTTTTCGAAAGGCCATTTTCCTTGGATTTTGAAGGCTACAGATCACGGATTTGACCTGAGGCTATTCTTCAACAATGATTAAGTCCATTAAGCACTTATTTAGGTGGATTTCTTCCGGGTCAATTTTTGGAAGATCGCAAAGGGGTACCATCACAGATTTTGGGCGATTTTTCCGAAATGCTATTTTCTTTCGATTTTGGAGGCTACAGAACACAGATTCAGCCCGAGGCTATTCTCCACTGATAATGAAGTCTATTGATCCTATTCTCCCCCGATGATTAAGTCCATTAAACACCGAATTTGGCCAGTTAAATTTGGGATGGCATTTTCGTAATTTTTTGGGCGATTTTTTTCGAAAGACCATTTTCCTTGAATTTTGAAGGCTACAGATCACGGATTTGGCCTGAGGCTATTCTTCAACGATGATTAAGTCCATTAAGCACTGATTTAGGTGGATTTCTTCCGGGTCAATTTTTGGAGGATCCCAAAGGGGTACCATCACAGATTTTGGGCGATTTTTCCGAAATGCCATTTTCTGTCGATTTTGGAGGCTACAGAACACGGATTCAGCCCGAGGCTATTCTCCACTGATAATGAAGTCTATTGATCCTATTCTCCCCCGATGATTAAGTCCATTAAACACCGAATTTGGCCAATTAAATTTGGGATGGCATTTTCATAATTTTTTGGGTGATTTTTTTCGAAAGGCCATTTTTCTTGGATTTTGAAGGCTACAGTTCACGGATTCATTCTGAGGCTATTTTCAACGATGATTAAGTCCATTAAGCACCCATTTGGGCGGATTTTTTCCTGGTCAATTTTTGGCAGATCCCAAAGGGTACCACCACATATTTTGGGCGATTTTTCCGAAATGCAATTTTCTTTCGATTTTGGAGGCTACAGAACACGGATTCAGCCCTAGGCTATTCTCCACAGATAATGAAGTCTATTGATCCTATTCACCACCGATGATTAAGTTTGTTAAGCACCGAATTTGGCCAATTAAATTTGGGATGTCATTTTCTTAAGTTTTTGGGGCGATTTTTTCAGAAGGCCATTTTCCTTGTATTTTGAAGGCTACAGATCATGGATTCAGCCTGAGGCTATTCTTCAACGATTATTAAGACCATTAAGCACCGATTTGGGGGGATTTCTTCCAGATCAATTTTTGGCAGATCCCAAAGGGGTACCATCACAGATTTCAGGCGATTTTTCCGAAATGCGATTTTCTTTCGATTTTGGAGGCTACAGAACACGGATTCAGCCCGAGGCTATTCTCCACTTATAATGAAGTCTATTGATCCTAATCTCACCGATGATTAAGTCCATTAAGCATCGAATTTGGCCAATTAAATTTGAGACGACATTTTCGTAATTCTTTGGGCGACTTTTTTCGAAAGGCCATTTTCCTTGGATTTCGAAGGATACAGATCACGGATTTTAAAGCCTATAGTATCAGGCCGAATCTGTGATTTGTAGCCTTTAAAATCCAAGTAAAATGGCCCTTCGAAAAAAAATTGATGAATAAATTACGAAAATGCCATCCAAAAACAAATTCCCACAAATTGTTACTTAATGGACTTAATCGTCGACGGAGATTAGGATCCATATACCTCACCGTCAGTGGAGAATAGCCTCGGACTGAATCCGTGATCCGTAAACTTCAAAATCAAAAGAAATTCGAATTTCACCAAAATCTCCCGAAATCTGTGATGGTATCCCTTTGGAATTAGCCAAAAATTGACATGGAATAAATCCGCCAAACTCGATGCTTAATGAACTTAGTCATCGTTGAAGAATAGTATTAGGCCGAATCTGTGATCTGTAGCCTTCAAAATCTAAGTAAAATGGCTATTCGAAAAACAATTGACCAAAAAATAACTAAAATGCCATCCGAAACCAAATTCGCCCAAATTCACCATCAATGGAGAATAGCCTAGGGCTGAATCTGTGATTCGTAGCCTTCAAAATAGAAAGAAATCGCATTTCGGGAAAATCGCCCGAAATCTGTGATGGTACCCATTTGGAATCTGCCAAAAATTAACATGTAATAAATCCGCCCAAATTAGTGCTTAATGAACTTAATCATCGTTCAAGATTAGTCTTAGACTGAATTTGTGATCTGTAGTCTTCAAAATCCAAGTAAAATGGCCCTTAGAAAAAAAAACGACCAAAAATCACAAAAATGCCATTTGAAAATAAATTCCCCAAAATTGTTGCTTAATGGACTTAATCGTCGTCGGAGAATAGGATCCATAGACTCTACCGTCGGTGGAGAATAGCCTCGGGCCGAATCCGTGATCCATAACCTTCAAAATCGAAAGAAAATCGCATTTTGGGAAAATCGACAGAAATTTGTGATGGTACCCCTTTGGAATCTGCCAAAAATTGGCTAGGAATAAATCCGTCCAAATCGGGCTTAACGGACTTAATCATCGTTGGAGAATAGTCAAAGTCCGAATCTGTGATTTGTAGCCTTCAAAATCCAAGTAAAATGGTCCTTCAAAAAATATTCGCCTAAAAATTTACGAAAATTCCATCCGCAAACAATTTCCCACTAATTGTTGCTTAATGGACTTAATCGTCGGCGGAGAATAGGATCCATAAACTTCACTGTTGGTGGAGAATAGCCTCGGGACGAATCCGTAATCCATAGCCTGATAGCCTTCAAAACCTATGAAAAATAGAATTCCAAAATCGATCTAAAATTGTAGAGAAAAAAGTGAGCGAAATATATAATGATTAGCCTTCAAAACCGGTCAAAATATGTGAAGAATAGCTTTCAGAATTGGCCACGAACAGTCGATAATTAATTTGTCAAAATTCGTGATGAATAACTTTCAAAATAAGCCAATTATGGCAGTTAAAAAATCATCAAAAATCTGTTATGAACAGCTTTCAAAATTGGCAAAGAATAGCTGATAAAAAATCAATCAAAATATGTGATGAATAATTTTCAAAATCAATCAAGAATAACCAATAAAAATTTGATCAAAATCTGTGATGAATAACCTTTAAAATCATTCAAGTATTGAGGATATAAAATTATCCAAAATTTGAAAATGATAGCCTTCAAATTTCTGGCTGAAGTGACCAAAAAAAAGTCTGTCAGGCATACGCACCACCAAGCTACAGGCAGTCAGAATAAAGTCCTATACTGGTTGGCCAGAATGGTTATTGGCTCGTTGGTGAAGCTACACTGGAATTTTGCTCCTTGGTTTCGGCCGTCTTTGCATGTATCAGTTTGTCCAGGATTGGTGGCTCCAATAGAGTTGGGTCAAGGCAACGATCTGAAGCACCAACGATTACCTGATTCGCAAACAATCCACAGACAACAAATGTCAGAAAGATCGCCCTACCTACAGCTTATTTTTCTGTTCTGTCTCCCTCACATCGACGATGCTTCCTTACTCCTTGACCAGCCCTGATCATTTAATAAGTCGTCGCTGAATAGGTTAAAGAGAATGAGTGGATAGATTAAAGGGAGATCAAGATTGCTACTTTCAAGGATGAAAACGCATTCGAATGGAAATAAAGAAGATTGTAAAATCAATCTATCTAGATACAAAAGTTATACTGTCTAGTGTCTACTTACGAACGTCATTGATATGTACAGCAACCATACATGAAACGTAGAAGAGATTGATCAATCACATCTACTTCATCTGCTCGAGCACAAAAGACTTGCCCAACGAGTGAGGAGAGCCATGGAAAAAGTATTGACTCACTTGATACGGTATGCTTGGTGCTGATGATCCTTTTCGATAGTGCACCTTCAGTGTCTTCAGTCTAGTGAAGGGGGAGGCTTCAGGCTCCATTAAGGACACCATTTCGGTGAGGGGAAAGTTCTGTTGCATGCCATCCTCCTGGTAAGGAAACACCATCAACCCATAAGGCCATAACCGAGGCGATCTAACAAACATACAGTTATTCCAGTAACGTACCTCATCATCGTAGACCTCGAAGCCGACATTGAGAGATTTAACATTATGCAAACCACGCAGCAGGTCTATGCAAGCGCGATTGGCCTTCTCCGTTAAGATATCACCGTCATTGAAGTGAAGAATGCTATACCAGTGCAGACAGATGTTTGCGTGATCCAGGACAGGGAGGTTTAACTTGGGGAAGTCTTTAAAATGCATTTTCGTCCAGCTATAATCAAAAGATTTGAGCTTTGGAGCAAAAACTTCGACTGTCTTGGTCGTACCATTACACCTTGTGCTTTCCATTTCCAGGTCTACTAGTTGGGGTCCCGAAACTACTAAGTTAACTAACGATGAGCAATCACGTAGCTTTAAGTAGTTCAAGCAAGGGAAATCAGCAAAAGGATCAATGTACCAAAGTGTGCATCTATGCAGTCGCAGAGTAGTCAGCAACTTGAAGCCCGAAGTCATTGGAGACTCAAGATCCGACCCGTACAATCTAAGATACCTCAGAGATTCATGATGGCGATATTTAGTGATGGAGGCAGCCATGGCCTCGAAGCTAGAATAAGGATTACCTAGTCTTTCAAATGTTAGATGATGAAGATGACCACCAGTACCATTGGAGCCAGCATATTGCATGACTCTATCGAAGACTTCCATATCTGGTTCTCCATTCTGTACTGGGCACCAAAAGTAATCAAAGGTAACTTTTTCCAGAATAGCATGACCGGATCGGAGAGACAGAAGTTTGCTAACGTGTTCACTGAAATCCAGCTTCGAATAATGACGCTTTCTCTTGAAATGAAGGGCCGGAACATCTTTCCACACGCACCTCCACCTCCTGGACAGAATGCTTGTTTGAACCATTGACACAGTGTCGAGGAAGGAGAGAATGTGATGCTGAATGCCGTCCGGAAGATCACTCAGTCTGTCCATTCCTTCATCAACATCCTTCCTCCTTTTGATTCTTCTCTTGTACACCTTTAAGCTTCCATCTGCTGGCGCCATAGTCACTCTCCTAACTTCTCTCTTCCAAGAACTACAGTCTACACACCACAAGAAATGGAATCATATGTGTTATTCGCACGCATACATATGTGGATATGCACTAATAACCCTATACTACTCGCCTCAAAAGAAAACAAGGGCTGTTCATCTGTTAATTTCTTGGCATTCAACTATCAGAAGAACTGTTTGAGACTCTAGGGTTAAGCAGAATCTCTAAAGTTGAGTATAACTGTACGCTAGACCTGATCCTAATCGCTTTCAACAAAGTTTGTGCCTTTCAATCGCCCACTAAGTAGGACATGAACAAACCCAGAGAATTAGATTGCTATCGATTCGTATTCATCAACTGGTCACTAAAAGGAGATGAAATTTCACAGGGCGACAGGATGAACAGAACAGACCAACAATCTGAATGGAAGAGGGAGGAAAGACGGAAGCGAGGTCTTACTACTGGTTCTCGAACGAAGGAGACTGGGACGACGACTCACGAATCACGATCTCTCTCGCCAGCGAAAGCCCAGGAAACAACCAAGGTTAGGGACTTAGGGGGGAACCGGAGTAGATAGTGAATCGTTTTTTTGAATTTTGAATGAACACAAGCCTTTATACTACTGCTTAGACGTGAAAATGGAGAGGGAAAGTGGAAATCCATCAAAATATGGGACGGGGCAGAACAGGGGTTAATTACACTAATGGCCATTGAACTTTTTGGTTACTGAAAAACCAGTCACTGAACTTTTTAGTCTGTGATGATTTACTCCTATAGTAGTATAATAATACCATATCCCCTACGTGCTGCACCTGATAAGTGATAAGAGGTAAGGTGGCAAAGAGAAAAAGATAGAAAGTAGGGTTCATACATCCTAAAGTTAAGATTTAAAGATAGCAGCTAAAAGTTGGACCCAATTTTGTTTGATCGAGAAATTGGTCGCTGATGATGGAGCCACTAACAAGAACAAGTAATAACCGTGCTCGAATCGAACTAGAGAGTAGATACCAAACTGAAGCTACTAGCACGAACAAGTGATGCAATGCTCGGAACTCGAGATCAATTGATCACTGATCATGAGTTTGTTTGCCTTGCTTGCAAAAACTCGTTATTGCAGCCTTGCCCTTGAGCCTTGAAGACCACACAATTGTTAAATCCTTCAAATAGCAAGATGACACACAACATAGTCCAGGAGATTCACGATAACAGGAAGAAAAATAAAGTACAACTATCCTTAAATACAATAAACTTTCTTACAAGGTTGATAGGATTTAAGAGGGAAAACTTTCTGGCTGTAGCGACCCCAAGAAAAAAAGTCTCAGTCATAAGCACCACCAAGCTACAGGCAGGCAGAATGAATTCCTAATACTGGTTGATCACAATGGTTATTGGCTTGTTGGTGAAGCTACACTGGAATTTTGCTCCTTGGTTTCGGCCGTCTTTGCATGTATCAGTTTGTCCAGGATCGGTGGCTCCAATGGAGTAGGGTCAAGGCAACGATCTGAAGCACCAACGATTACCTGATTCCCAAACAATCCACAGCCATCAACTTAGCATTATAAAGAGTTTCTACTCCGTTTCCTTCAACATCTTTTCTATATATACCACATGAATGAACATTGCAGATTTCCAACTCAAGGTAGATTCTTAGTTATACCTCATCAAGCAAGAAGTCAATGGCAGCTTCGTCTTCAGCTAGCTCCTTTAGAGGAGTCCTTAGGAACTGGATGTCCAACTGAATTTGCTGAAATCCACTCCGGTTTAGAGTCTGGAGGCGAACGAATTCTTGCAAGCTCTTGAGACCCAGTTTTATAATGGTAGTCACAACTGACTCCTGCAAGTTTGCATTGGAACCCATTCCTCATTATATTACATACATGATAAGAAGTGACAGACTCGACTTCCCACCAAACAGTTTGAGAGAATCAGATACGTACCCGTGTAAACTCGACTTTCGTGAAGATTTCAACTTTCTGCTTAAACAATTTTGCTAGGTGGGTTTCCAAAAGCTGGCTCCTGGCTCGTTGTGTATTTGAACGTCGCAGTTTATCGTCTCGTAATGAATTACTTAGAGAGGAAGTAGTACTTCCGTTGCTCTCAGATCGACGATGCTTCCTTACTCCTTGAGATAGAATCTGCTTAACCTCACTCCCTACTGCTTCCAACTACCAAGGGAAATTATTTGGGGGGGGGGGGGGGGGGGGGGGGGGAAATACAGGTCGTTAATCTTGGGATACTCTGCATGCATATATGGACACGAAAAGATGAAAACATTCAGTAATGTGAACAAACCTCTTGCAGGAATAGATCAACGAACATGTGAACTTCTCGTGGCTCCTTGTGCTGCAAGGTGGAGCAGATAAAAGCCACGATTTCAGTAACAGTCCTTCATCATATAACACATCCAAAGCAATGGGTATCATCATACTAACCTTGATCCAGTTTGGAGTTGTGAACCTTTTCCTTAAAAGCACTGATATTCTATGTGTCCTCATATTTATATACTGAAAGAGCCAAAGAGTCCCAGTAAATTGGCCAGCAAGCACAAGAGCAATACATGTACCCAAAAGAAGACAGAGATGGCATCATTGAGATACTATTATCACAATGAAATCTTTCAATTTGAAGAGTCACCAATCACGTTAAGTATAATATGTGCAAGTTGAAACAGTCTTTAACTCCACAAGCAGTTTCAAGGAAGAAGCAAGTAAACAATGTGTGGTAGTGAAAAACAATAGGCTACGGGATTTTCATAAACAGCAAAATGCTTTTACTGGCCACATGAAACACGCATGATCAAGCAACTAAAGTACTAAACATGGTTTGAATACGCTAGATATGAAGTAGCATGCCAACTACTCATACCTGGTGCAGAAACTTCTCGCTGGCTGATTGAAACACTCGACTTATTTCAGTGGGATGAAAGACAAGTCCATGTTCATACCCCCGAGCTCCACTACTAGAGAAAGAAGCAGCAATTTCCTGAGAGATCAAACATGTAAGGCTGAGTCAGCTCCAGAGAGATTCCTCATGAATCCACTTATATTACCCAGAAGCTGCAGTGAAAATCACACATGAAACTGGTACGGTTCTTGCCTCAGTAATTCTTGGGATTGCAGTTTGTTCGACAAAAACACAGAGCTGAGCCAAAACCAGGACAAGACCGGAAGAAATTTTTTCAGACTGCAACCCCTCACTCAGACTTTGATCTTGAGGACTTGACTTAATTCTTCCCGAAAGCAAAAGAAACCGAGTATCCAATGCCTCAAAGAACTGTTGGAACCCTGCTTGAACCCAATCAGTTATCAGCTCCCTTAGTTTGACTAGCAGATCTAAGTTGTCCTCTAGAAGTTGACGGAAGCCCTGGAATAAAAATGTTCAGACAAGAGCTACATAAGCATGAATTGATCTAAACAGGAAAACCATAACAAGTATGGACAGCAAAATTTGAAAATGAGTCGGCCTAAATAACATGATTAATATAAACTGCTAATAGCAGAAAATCAAAACTATACATACAACGCAAAACAATGAATTGCGTATGCCAGCAAGGACAAGGTTCAATGAAGTGCACAAAAACTTACACTTATAAATCTAAGACCTGACCAACAAGATTCAATGCTGCCCGTGAAAAGATAAAAGAATTGAAGAGACAACACTAAATACCCTCATGACAGTCTAGGAATGAATTTGAATTATATACATCAACTTAAGAATTCCTGCATGCATTGCCAATTGAAAATCTTTAAAGTTCTCATAGTACCAGTAAAAGGTCCATGCTTCCCTTGAGTAATGAATTTTTCCCAGCTTCCAAAGCAACCTGCAACTGCTCTTCTGCCACATTGTTTTGTTGGGGATGGACTTTCATCATAGCACCTGCCATTTCATTAAAAATCTAAGTCTGTGCAACAATCTGAGAAATATAGGTACTTGAGAAATAAAGACTCATGAGATTCGGGATTCTGGCCCTAACAACTTCTTGTAACAAAGCCATCGGCATATACACTGGTATCCATTAGAGAGCTGAGACTGATATCTTCCCATTCGTCCAAGACTTTAGATCCTAACAACAATCTACCATGATTTGGTAAAGATAGATTAAGGTTTTTCAACTGTAGCAGTTACCTGAGACATCGTCGAGAAGATGAGAAAACATGCTTGAAACATACTGTTTGATAGCACTTTGGGATACCTGAACCATGTATACACATTCAGCAGATGAAGAGTGAAAATGCAAAGCCCAAGTGAGAAACGGGGAACGAACTTGGCACAAGTAGACAGTACTGCTTAGTTCAAAACATATAGTTACCTTAAAACAGTAGTCATGCAGCAAAGCCTCAGGCAGTACATGATCAATCAGAAGGACATCGTCCCATATAATTCCTGCAGTTGTTAGGCATCTATTAGAAACAAAGCACACAAGGAATGCGAACAAAAACATTGAGGCCAACTAGCTTCAGGATAAAAGAGGGACAACTGATAATCAGGTTGATGTATACCTCAAGCAATATAACATATGAAGTTCTTTTCCTATCAACCTGTAAATCTACAGTCAGCTAAATTTGTCATGAGATGACTTTTGCTTCCTCTCTCTTTTTATTTTGCTTACATGTTTCTCACATGACCATTGACCATTCTTTTTCATTTTTTACACTTCAGAGTCCACTTTAACTTTTCCATATCACCAGTTCATCACCACACGCATAGACTAAAATAGACGCCAAACGAAGAGACTTTTGAAAAGAAAGCATCAGAAACTGCAACAATAAAAACAGGTAGTAGGACAGAAACGAGAGTATATAAATCCTAAAGTAGGGACTACCTTTCTACTGAGAAAAAGAAAAAACAAGGGAAAGGCAAGAAATACAAATTCTCGGAGATATCATACTTACGAAGAACACGTAGAAAAGTTGCAGTTGAAACTCTTTTCTTCATGTGTTGCTCAGTTATTAGAAAGTGCCTAAAACAACGGAAAAAGATCATTGCAAGAAAATCATAATGCACTTAAAGAGAATAGTAATAACTTGATGAAACCATGGCCAACAAACTAACGAATAGAAGATGATAAAGACTTAGAGCCTCACTTGGTAATCAAGTCCTCAGAAAGTTTAATCAGTTGAGATTCTGAGTCAGGAAATATAACGCGATATGCTCGAACAGTCTCCACAAACTCGTGAACAGAAGCCTAGTCATATCACAAGTATATAGCAGCAAAGTAAATGAATCATATTGGCAATGAAGTACTAAAAAAGGAGTATGCAGCTAGTAATCTGAGAGTGTAAAGTAGAAAAGCACCCACGTTTTCTATAATTAAGAGCCACAAAAAGAGTAGACCCCTTTGCAACAGAGAGAAGAAATCAAGTACAGCACATGTTATGGCGGTTCAAAACAAAGGTCAGTACCCAGGACCCACAACTAAGTATATCTGTATTAACTTCCACTTCATACACACAAGAAGAGGAAAAAATGTCCAAAAGGACACAAGTACTTAATGGGTTTCGGAAGGCAATAGCATGAAAAAGAAAACAAACACAGAGGTTGTAATAATGCAAATTCACAAACAACTCATCTAATTTCACCATCTAGGTGTTAGATCACAATCACGGTAAGGAATTTTGATTGTTTTCTTGAAATTAACTGCTAGATGTACAGATGTGCTTTTCCCTACTTACATCATGTGCTACAGCAAAACCCAGCTGCAGATCATTCTCTTGTTCATCATTGGACTCTTCCAATGCATCAGCTACGTCCCCAATCTTAACCTGAAGACCCCCCAGAGATTGTTCCAGCTTTTCAAATAGTCTCACCTTCAAACCATCCACCTGCTCAAAAAGTGGGCTATTCTTCATCGATGCACATTAATCTTTGAAAGAGACTTGATTTTTTACATGCAGAGTGCAGATATCATGAAGGTGGATATAGCACAGCCTAGGAATACTCCCCTCACAAGAACACTGATGCGCCTATCTAAAAGGAACATTATTCAAATATCGGCAAAGAACACGAACCGGAAAATCCAACTGTTTCAATAGAACTGCTGCTTCAGCCCTCGTCTGTATGGATTCAGAATCTGAGAATAGCTTTCCCTGACAATGAGAATTGAGAACACATCAAATGATGTAGCATTAGCTAGAATTCCAATTGTCATGCTTCATATAGATTAAGAAGTCTGATGTCAGGGCAAGTGATTTTTAAGTCCGAAGATATAAATCAGCATATATGTGCAACCCACTCACAGACTTTACAACAGAATGTGAATCACATATATTTGTCTTCCGATAGAATTCCTACTCTCATGCAGCAGAAGTTGACAAAACCAGAGGAAATTGCAACGATGATAATATGATTTCACGGCTTAGGATACACAAAGTGACCGAACCTGTAAGTTTTTGGTAATAGTCATAACAGCTTCTTCGGATGCTCTCTTACAGTCCTGGAAAGAAGATTCCCCATATGCCTGGTAATAAAGCACACAATAGTTGTCAAAAAAGGAATACTGGGTTCAACGGGGAAAAGGAACGCCGAAGAGCTGGATATGAATTATTAAGAACAAAAGTGAAACAAGCACTGAATGCTAAATGCTGGTAAAATCACCCTGTGCACGAGAATGGGGTACCTTAAATATTGGCATTGCTCCAGTGTAGAACCTGACTGCATCAGCATATGCCTCTGCTTTAATACACTTCCCAAGCCTAGCAGGTAGATCATATATGAACTGCTCTTTTCCACAGAAGAACAACTCTGTGTGACTCATACATGGCCACAAACCAACTCATAAATTACACACAATCAAGATGCTTACATCTGTACCACAAATTTTAATTATAGAAGTATGTTACGACAACTTAAAAACAGAACTTGCCTAATAGAGGAACTCTTCACTAATTATAAACCGTTCCATTAGCTTTTTTGTCTCATCCATGACCTGGATATACAATTCAGACACTTGACTTGAGGATCCATGTTTTTTGTACTTTATATTGATGCAGAATAGAACCTACGACTCCCGTGCACTAGGTTAACTACAGAGTGACCTAGCAATAATGCAAGTAAAGATCAGGGAACAGGCCACTCCTTGCATCTAATTCTCCTGGCAAAGTTAGGAAATCCCTGACAGACAATCTACCTTCAAATAGTAATAACTTCCTTGAATGTGGAATAACATTGAATACCTGGACTTTACGGAGAAGATTACGAGTGCGGTGCAATTTCTCTATATGCTCTCTCTTTCCGAAAAGAGAATTGTTCACTCCATCACTTCTAGATTGCACTGACATGATCTACAATGATCGGTAATGCAACTGTTCAGAAATATCCCATTCGCCATTGGTATGTAAATAATAACTTCTACCGACCTTGTCAAGGAGCTGCTCCATGTTTGCTTCCATCCCCACAATGTTGCTCTTCATCCTGTGTAATTTCCACCCATATGTAAGGTTCCTAACAAAGTGGGGTGCATAAACCCCCCATCAAACCAAGTCAAAGCACGGTCTGGTTATGTGAACACATACCTCTTGATTGCATCAGTGGCACTGATAAACTTGTTGTAATTCTCGTAGACTAACATTTGCAAATCAGTGTCTAGGTTCTTAATTTCAGCAGCCATTTCGACATGCTTTTGCAGAAGCCCTTCTAAGTTAGCCCTTTGCACCTATAATCAATCATACCCAATCTCTCAGAAAACATTTCCACCTCCACTCCCAACCAAACTAGCAACTCCCAATCACGTCTGTTACACAAGTACACATCGAGTCGCAATAACCCAAACTTCAAAGCTTCCCGTCATCAATCGACAATTCACTAGTACCAACATTTCCCAACACTAACAAACTGGAATTAATTATAGAGGAAGATCTATGTACCAGGAGATTCATGTACTGGTCCGCATCAAACGAATCCGTGTTGATGGCGTCCAGGGAAGCACCTTTCGGCAGACTGCCCCCAGCCACTGAAGGATCCGGAGCGTAGAAGCTCGACAACAGATCTCTCATTCTTTTCGCTTTGTCGTCCAACGGAGCGTCTTCTATCGCCATTCTTCTTCTTACAGCCCGAACTCCTCTTCAACTATCTCGTCTAGCTCTCACCAAATACCCCGGCAATTCTGTCTATCCAAACTCCTAGACAATGCGAAACCTTAGAATTCGTCCAGATCAAAAGAAATTTGCTGCGACATCTACCCTATCCATCAATTATCGGTGCAAAACTAAGGTGAAAGGAAGTAACGGAGATCTTACCGTCGACGAGCGTTGAAGGGACTGACAGTGGTACTTCTTCCTCCTAGCAGTACCAATACTCGATCGCCTTCTTTCGCTCTCCTCGAAGGTGAACGTTTCCCTAATCGTCGCCGATGGGAGGCAGGAACACTTCTCTGTCCGATCCGGCTGGTACCGACTTTGTGAAGAGAAAGAGGAAAGACGAGCGGCAATTGAAGGAGAGAGGGCAAGAACTCTGGAGATACAGGAGAGGGATGCTGGAAATTGAGGGGAAAATGATAAAAAGAAATCGCGGAAAAGCCTGGAACAAGCTCGGAGAAGAGAGCGAAATTGACGAGATATCGTGATATAACGAAAAAAAGCGATATGTTAAAGGTATTTTCGGGGTAGCCTGATATATTGAGCTCGCCTGAAAAAGTGATCGGGAAAATAGCCCGGAGACCAGAAATACAGGCACTGGTACCTGAACTGAACAATACACAGAAAGTACACGATATGATCCAAAAGAAGCACAATAATATGTTTAGCGGGATACAATGTTATCCAGATCATGAGAGCTTAGTGACAGACATTGTTGATGGTCATTCTTGCAACCATTAATATGTACAGCATAGATGCAACTACTCATATGCTCAAATCTCCTCAAGGAAACACAATCAGGCCAGAGCTCAGAACGATATAATACGTCGACTAGCATAGCTCGCTGTTACAAACACAAGTATGTTCTAGTAGTACCCAAGTCTTGTGCCAACATAAGGTAAGTAATTACCTCGTCAACGTTGTAGAGGTAGAGGAAAAAACATACATTTGTTTTTTTTTTAATTAATTTATTTTATATATGTAGTGACTACTATTAAGCATACAAACTTAACCATATCGTGCTTTACTTCCTATTTTGTTTTGGAATCGGAAAAAGCCATTCAACCCAAATTATTAATACTAGTATAAGCCCGCTCGCTATCGCTTCGCTTGTGAGCGACAACATGATATTTTGTAGAGCAATAATTTAAATAATGTTGATATGAAAGTAGAAGGATTCCATTTCATTCTTAACCTTTCTTTCCATGGGTTTGTCATATACAACACCATGTGGTCGACTAAGCGATAAACTTTCAGAAGGTTTGAGGAGGATCAACTCGCGTTGACCGGGCCGATATTGTCCAGTTTTTACTCTTTTTGCTTTGTTTTTATTAAGTTTATCTTGAATTCTCCTTTTTGTGGATTTTCAGGGCTGATCGCAGTTTGTGGAGGTTCAATTCGCGTTGACCATGCTGAATTAGGTTGAATGTCATGGGGTTTGGGTTCAATTAGCATTCTCAATCAAAAAGAAAAAAAATTAACAAACACTAAAGCGGATGAAACTCGCTCTAGAGCCAAAACTCGGCAACAATAGGTTCAACACTAAATGAGATAAACTCACTCCAAACTAAAAAATCTCGACATTGAGTTTAACTTGCTTTGACTTGGTCGAACCAAGTTTTTAAAGAATTCACACTCGACCAAATATGTCAATTATATAAAAGCGGATAAAACTCACTTTCAATACAAATCTCGTCAGCACCGAGTCTGGGTTCAATTCTCATTCCAACAAAAACGAAAAAGAGAAGTAAAATAACATTAAAGCAGGCAAGCCTCGTTCTCTATCCAAAACTCGTGAACACGGTGTTCAACTCGCTTTGACCGGATCGATATAAGTTTTTAACAAATGCACACTCTACCTAACCTGTTAATTACAATAGCGGATAAAACTCTATCTCGGTAGAAAATTCGTCGATACCATGGGTTTGAGTTTAATTTTCATTCTTAACATAAAGGAAAAAAATAAATTTAAAAATACTACAGTTGGGTTAAAGTCGCTTTGACCTAGCCGAAATAGGATGGACACTCATGTGTTTAGGTTCAATTCTCATGTTCAACAAAAAAATAATAAGAAAACACTAAAGTAAACGAAACTCGGTCCCGATACAAAATTCTTCAACACAGAGTAAATATGGTACAGATTTTAGATAGCGGCTTTGGAAGATACTGGAGGGATACAACTTAGGATTTCACCGACAATGTTTCAAAAGTGGGTTGTAAATTGGCGGGTGAAAGCGAAGATTGTACAGACGATATATGGTATGAATATTCGGTAGTGGTTGTGGCAAACAGTGGAAGGGGACAACTTAGGTTTCCGCCAACAGTGTTTCGAGAGGGCTGCGAATTGGTGGGCGAAGGCGATGATTTGGTAAAAATGCCATAGACTATGAATAATTGATGTGAACTCAACAGACAATAGTTAAACATAGAGGATGTAAAATGAGAGAGTTAGGTGGAAAAAAAGACATTTGGGAGAGATTTGAGTAAATTGACATTAAATTGGGAAAACCTAATGTGACAAAAGCTAAAACAAATGGTATGACATGGGAGAGTGAAGTAATAGGAGGTTCTCCAAATTTTAGAGGTTTAGGAGAAGGATATGTGAGTAAATAAAACCAAACAAATTAAGGTTGTCCACGTCCACTTGTAGGAGTTGGAAGGCCAATAGTAATATATTATATTATATAGGTATATATTATATTATATTAATATATTAATTGTACATCATGGACGGAGGCCCTTTTTCTCCCAAGACCTAGTCGTCGCCGCTGCTTTTCAGTCGTTACAGCCCTCCCTCCCTCTCCATCCAACATGACGGAGGAGGAGGAGCACCGCGATTGGTCGCAGCTTCCCGGCGAGCTCGTCGACCCAATCATGCGCCGGATAACCAAGCTACGTGACTTCATCGTCTTCCAATCCATCTGCAAGCCGTGGAGACATGTCGTACTGGACCAAGACCAAAACTCTCCAAAGTTGTGCCAAACCCTGCCGTGGCAAATCTGGCCGTGCAAAAGATACCCCACCGTCGGGAAGCCATGTAAAGAAGGCGGTAACTGCCACGGATTCATCGACGTGGCCGAAAACAGCAAGCCCCGGCTACACATGAACTTCGGCCCGAACACAAAACGTCACGGCTCGGCCCTTGGATGGCTCCTCCTAGAAGAAGGACGACATTGGTCCCGGCCGCCGCGGTGGAGATCTCGTCTTCTGTACTTGCTGAACCCTTTGACCGGAAATATGATCCTTGTTGTGAACACTACGTTCAATACTGAACGCGAGCTGAGGCGATTCGCAATGTCAGCCGAGCCGACGGCGGCAAAGGGCTGCGTCGTGGCCGCCACCTATTACGTTACTAAGCACTACGAGAAATGCGGCTTAGTGTCGTGGAAGCTCGGATCGTCGTTGTCGCGTACGTTGATCCCCTTCAACTCCTTTGTGGATGATCCAACGTTCCTCGAGGCGACGTGGGAGATTGCGTTCTAGAGGGACAACGACGTCGTTCTCGTCTTCTGTCCCGCCGACGGTAGGGTTTTGTCCTACGATCTTGCTGCTGCTGACGGGCCGGTGCTTTCGTGGGCTTTCCTGCCTAAGGATTTTATTATTCCGAGGCCTTATCACGACCGTCACAAGTACTGCTTGGTGGTGAGTCCGGAGGGAGGAGGAGAGTTAATGCTCTTGAGCGACACGAAGGAGTGTACAACCACGATAAAATCTGGCCTAGGCATGGTTTGAGGGTCAGATTTTGTGTTCACAAGATGGATGAAGATGAAAAGAGATGGACTGAATCTAAATCCACCGATGGTGATGATTGTGCTTTTTTCATGGATTCGTGGAATGTTTTTTGTGTGTCCGTCAAAGATCATCCAGAGTGCAGGAATTATTGTGTTTACTATGGTCGGGGTGATGTGTTTGACCTCAATCGCGAGTTGGTGATTCTTCCTCCGGACGCTTATTATTCCAGCTATCGATTTCAGTGGATTTTTCCGTCGAACTATTTATTAGCTGCGGGGGAGGATCATAATTAAATTAGAAAGAATACTGCGAATCCTTGCTTTTAGAGGGAGGCCGATTGATGCTCCTCTCGAGCCGGGCGTGTAGTGAATCCCGAGTATACAGGATTTTGACGCGTTTATATTATTTTGGGATATTGGTATTCATTTTTACTATGATTAGTTTTAATTATTAGTCAATACATTATCTTAGAATATGATTTGATCATTGGTGTATCATTGTGATTCCTACTTAGTAGAATGTTTTTTGTGTGTCTGTCAAAGATCATCCGGAGTGCAGAAATTTTTGCGTTTACTATGGTCGGGTGATGTGTTCGACCTCAATTGTGAGTCGGTTATTCTTCCTCCGGACGCTTATTATTCCAGCTATCGATTACAATGGATTTTACCGTCGAACTATCTATTTGCTTTTGGGGATCATAAATTGGAAAGATTACTACGAGCCCCTGCTTCTAGAGGGAGGCCGGTTGATGCTCTTGTCGAGCAGGGCGTGAAGTGAATCCCGAATGTACCGTTTCTATTATTTTGGCATATTGTTATTCGTTTTTGCGACGATTAGTTTTTATTATTAGTTTATACATTGTCTTAGAATATGATTCGATTATTGATGTATCATTGTGAATTCCTATTTAGTAGAATTGGTGGAGTAAGGACGAAGTTAGGATTTCGATATACGTATAGTGAATTAGGTTGTCAAACAGAAATTAACCAAATGAATGCCACCTTATTCTAATAGAAAAGAGATTAACCATCTTCCAGTAGGCTTCGTAGCTAGTTCCTATTCCATGTTGTAATCGGAAATACAAAAACACTTATAATATATAATACGCAAGACGATCTCATATTACCCCCAAGTCCTAATTAACCAGCCACCGGTGCAATTTACAGCTTCCCTCCCGCTTCGGACTATCTGTCTCTCTCTCTCTCTCTCTCTCTCTCTCTCGCCGGCATGACGGAGAATGAGCAACGGGATTGGCCACAGATCCCCGGCGAGCTCCTCGAAGCCATCAGTCGCCGCTTCACCGACCCACGAGACGCCCTCCGTTTCCAATCCGCGGTTTGCAGGCCGTGGAAAGAAGCCGTCAAAACGCCGTACCGCGGACCCCTGCCGCTGCTCGCCTTGTCGTGCAAACACATGAAGAGCACGCCCAATTGCCGCGGCTGCCGCAACACCGGCTGCCATCGCTTCGTCGACGTGGCGACGGCGGCGGGGGAAAAAAACATCATACACATCAATCTAGCCAATCAAGACGACGGCACCAACGTTCACTGTCACGGCTCGGCGTTCGGATGGCTACTCCTGGAGGAACGGCCGCGGAAGCCTAAGCCGTCGGTCGGTCTACACTTTTTGAACCCTTTTACGAGAAAGAAGATCCCTCTTCCGGCGGAAACACAGCAGGGCGGCTACCTCATTGATTCACAAAAAAAGCCCCGCGAAGTCAGGAGGTTTGCAATGTCGGCTGATCCTTCCTCCACGGAGGAACCCGTCACGGTAGTATTATGCTATCGCGAAAAAGTCAGTGATAAGGTATTTTGGGATTTCGACTACGGCCTAGCAATTTGCAAGCTGGGAGGCCGAGGGCGAGGAGGGATCGATCAACGGTGGACGTTGGTCACCTTTAACCCGTTTGAGGGTAAGCGGTGTAATTTGGGGCGGTCGTCGGTTGTGTTTTGGAGGGACAAGGTGCACGTGCTGTATTCTCCGGCCGGTGGAAGGGTTTTGGCCATTGATCTTGATGGGAAAGGCGGCGACGACGAGTCTGTAGAAAGCAATGAACAGCAAACTGACGACCTTTTATTGAATTGGAAGAAAGATACATATAGGAGTTGATGCTAACCACAATTCCTGGTTGCTCTCAACGTTCACAATCCAAGAATCACGCTAACAACACTTAATCAACTAACTAATCAGCTAAGAACTCTCAACTGATCAAACCACTACTGACAGGACTGAAATGCAACTCAACTCAGCAACAATGACTAATACTAAAATAAACCAAACGCTGTCGTACAGCTTATTACTCAGAGACCTCGAATTTGAACTTCTCCTTGGCGCGCTGCTGCTAATCCGAATCCAGTTCGGATTAGGATTCCTTCTCTACATATCCTCCCCTGAACTGAAGCACCCCAGGCACCAGCTTCAGTTCACTGCTGTCTTCATCCATTCACAACTTCAGAGAGATCATAGATTCCCAGTTCCTGCCTCAATCTGCAGAATGATTCCAGAGACAAAGCCTTGGTCATAATGTCAGCAACTTGATCCTTTGTACCACACTGCTTCAGTTCCACCACTTCATCTCGAACCAAATCCCTTAGAAAGTGAAACCTTACATCGATATGCTTGCTCCTGCCATGGAGAACTGGATTTTTGGATAACTTTATGGTCGAGCTGTTGTCACACAAGATAGCAGTGGCCTCACTCACACTTGACTCCCAACCAATCTCAGACAGAACCCTCCTTAGCCAGACTCCTTGAGCAGCACAGTAGGCTGCTGCAACAAACTCTGCTTCTGTAGTACTTAGAGTCACCACAGGTTGTTTTTTGGATGCCCAGGAAACAGCACCTCCAGCTAGAAAGAAGACATACCCACTGGTACTCTTCCTATCATCTGAATCTCCAGCATAATCACTGTCTGTGTATCCCAACAGACAGTCTTCCTCATCCTGTCTTCTGTACCAAATTCCATGGCTCAGGGTTCCCTTCAAGTATCTGAGTACCCTCTTTGCAGCCAGCATATGCTGCTTAGTAGGTGCTTCCATGTACCTGCTCAACAAGCAAACAACAAACATGAGATCTGGTCTAGTTGCAGTGAGATATAACAGGCTTCCAATGAGCTGCTTGTACTCAGTTGCATCCACCAGGCCTCCATCTCCAGCTCTCGACAGTTTTGCTCCAGGAACAATAGGATTATGTACAAAGTTGCATTCAGCAAGGTTAAATCTGGCTAGAACTTCTTTGGCATACTTCTGTTGACATATAAAAATGCCATCCTCCCTTTGAATCACTTCTACTCCCAGAAAATACTTCATTCTGCCCAGATCAGTCATCTCAAATTCAGCCTCCATGGTATGCTTAAATTCAGTCACCAGTTCAGCATTAGTACCTGTGTATAACACATCATCAACATAGATGCTCACGAGCAACACCCCCTGATCAGATTTCTTGATGAACAATGTAGCTTCATGTGGACATTTCTGGAAGCCAGTTGCAAGGAAGTGAGCTTCTATTCTGCTGTACCAAGCCCTGGGAGCCTGCTTCAAGCCATACAAGGCTTTCTTGAGTTTGTAAACTTTATCTTCCTCCCCAGCAACCACAAATCCTTGTGGTTGCTCAACATATACATCTTCACTGAGTTCTCCATGCAAGAAAGCACTTTTGACATCAAGTTGCCAGACTGGAATGCCATGATGTGCAGCAAAGGCTAGAAGACACCTAATGGTGTCCCATCTGGCTACTGGAGCAAAGACCTCATTGTAGTCTATCCCAAACTTCTGAGCATATCCCTTAACCACCAATCTCGCTTTATGCTTATCAAGACTACCTGTCTCAGTGAATTTAGTCTTGTAAATCCACTTCAGGCCAATAGGAATTACACCTGCAGGAAGAACAGTGAGTTCCCAGGTATTGTTCTTGTTGATTGACTTCATCTCCAACTTCATTGCCTCATTCCAAACTGCATCTCGAGAGGCTTCCTCAAAGGTTTGAGGATCATCTGTGATTGTAGTCATAGCTAGCCACTCTGATTCTTCTTCTGCACAACTGCACTCATAGATTGAGAGGTGGCTAGGTGGCTTCCTTGTTCTGGGACCCAACTCAGTGCTTCTAGGCAATCCCAGCACATCAGTTGGACCTTCCTCATCATCCCTATCTGTAGAATTAAGACCAGTAGGAGGTGTAGGTGTTACTGGACTGTCTGGTTCTTCTTCAGTCACTTCTTCAGGAACTGCTGGTGCTGAAATTTGAGGTCCTTCTTCTCCATCAGAGTCAACATAATCATCATCACTCCCTTCCCATATTAAACTTGTTAGGACTGGTTGGATGTCGGATTTCCACTTCCAGCCCTTACTTTCATCAAAGACAACATCTCTACTCACCAGAATTTGCTTTGTTTCTGGATTGTACAGCCTGTATGCCTTTGATTCTGCAGAAATGCCTAGAAAATGACATGGAATGCTCTTATCATCAAGCTTCTTCCTGAATTTATCAGGAATGTGTGCATAAGCCACACAACCAAATACCCAGAAATGAGATACAGATGGAGAAGCACCAGTCCACAGCTCCTGAGGTGTTTTCCCAGCATTTGCCACTGTGGGACTTCTATTAAGGACATGAGTTGTCCAGTTAACTGCTTCTGGCCAGAAAGCAGCTGGTACCTGAGTGTCTTTCAACATGCATCTTACCATATTCATGGTTGTTCTATTCTTTCTCTCAGCCACCCCATTCTGCTGGGGAGTCAAGGCAGCTGTAAGTTGCCTTTTGATGCCAGATTCAGCACATAAAGACTGGAATTCATTCAGTAAAAATTCTCCTCCCCTATCTGTTCTAAGACAAAGAATAGATAGATCTGTTTCCTTCTCAACCCCAACCACAAATTTCTTAAACCATTCCAATGCTTCAGATTTAGCAGCTAGAAAGTAGACCCATAACTTCCTACTGAAGTCATCAATCAAGGTAAAGATGTACCTTTTCCCTCCATTTGAGGTTGGTGTTATAGGACCACATAAATCTGCATGGATGAGTTGAAGCTTCTTCGTTGCCCTCCATTGACTTTGTTTAGGAAATGCTTGTCTGGATTGCTTCCCAATCTGACAGGTAGAACAAACTCCCACTGTTCCTTTCAGTTCTGGAATACCTGTGATAAAGCCCTTCTGTTGCACCTGCATCAGTCCTTGTGGATTCAAATGGCCAAACCTTCTGTGCCAAAGAGTGAGAGAGGTGTCCTTGGCACTTCCAGTTTGCAGGCAGTAAGCTTCAGTCCTGTTTGATTCATCCTTCAGCACAAACATCCTGTTGGATCTCATGGAGGTTTCCAACAGAAAACCCTTGTCCTCATGATAGATTCTGCAGACATTCCTCTTTACCATGAATTCTAAACCCTTCTCCTGCAGCTGCCCCATACTTAACAGATTTGTTTTCAAACCAGGTACATAGAACACATTATGAATCACCAGAGAGATCCCTCCTAGCTGTAATCTTATCTTTCCTTGGCCTGCCACATCCAGCCTGGTGTCATTTCCCAGTCTCACTTTTCCAGCCTTGGTTTCTTCTATTGATTCAAACCATCTCCTGTCTCCAGTCATATGGTTGCTGCAACCAGAATCCAGGAACCACCAGCTGTGCATTCCTTCTGCTAGAGGTTCTTCCAGGAAAGCCATCAACAGAACATCATCAGGAAGAGCATTATGATCATTGGATTTGGCCTGAGAATAGTAAGCCTGTTGATTTGTGTACCAATCAGGGCACTCATTTCGATAGTGCCCCAATTTGTGACACTTGAAGCATTCAACCTGCTCCCTATTCCAGCCTCTTCCTCCCCTTCCTCTTCCCCTTCCTTGAAAGCCTCCAGCCCTGCCAGCTCCTCTACCTCCCCTAGCCCCTCCATCATAACTCATTCTAAGGGCCTGATCTTCTTCCTGGAGAGATTTCCTGTGAAACTTCTGCTCATGAACCAACAATGAGCTCTGTAGAGCATCAACAGAGAGGGTTTCTATGTCTTTGGATTCCTCAATTGAGCAGACAACATAGTTAAACCTCTCAGTTAATGTTCTCAGAATCTTCTCAACTATCTTACCATCAGTCATATCTTCTCCACAGTTCCTCATATCATTTGCCACAACCATAACCCTACTGAAATAAGCAGCAACAGACTCACCCTCTTTCATCTCAAGAACTTCAAAAGTTCTTCTCAAAGCCTGCAACTGAGCCTTCTGAACACGAGCACTGCCCTGGTATTTGGTCCTCATAGCATCCCAGAGCTGTTTTGAGGTAGCCTTGTTGGTGATTGTCTTCAAGATGGATTTATCTATGGAGCTGAACAAGTAGTTCTTGGCTTTTAAGTCTTTAAGCCTGAGATCCTCCAAGTTCTTAGACTCCACAGCAGACAACTGAGCCCCAGCAGCTGGCTCAGGAATGCCTTCACTAACAACCACCCAGTACTCTTTTGATCGAAGGAGATTCTCCATGAGAAGACTCCAGTGATCAAAGTCCCCATCGAATTTTGGCAATCCCACTTGTGCAAAACCAGCATTGTCACTCATGTTTGCTGAGAAAACAAGAAACTCTCTATTCCCAGAAATACCACACACCCTTGAAAGGATTTCTCACTAATATACTCTCGTGTTTCCCACACCCAGATCCTGCTCTTACACTCGATTTCACTCACACTCAATCACTCAACCTTTGCTTGAAAGCAACAATGGTTACAGCCTGCTAATGCTCTGATACCAAATGTAGAAAGCAATGAACAGCAAACTGACGACCTTTTATTGAATTGGAAGAAAGATACATATAGGAGTTGATGCTAACCACAATTCCTGGTTGCTCTCAACGTTCACAATCCAAGAATCACGCTAACAACACTTAATCAACTAACTAATCAGCTAAGAACTCTCAACTGATCAAACCACTACTGACAGGACTGAAATGCAACTCAACTCAGCAACAATGACTAATACTAAAATAAACCAAACGCTGTCGTACAGCTTATTACTCAGAGACCTCGAATTTGAACTTCTCCTTGGCGCGCTGCTGCTAATCCGAATCCAGTTCGGATTAGGATTCCTTCTCTACAGAGTCGTCCATGTTTTCGTTTGCTTTTCTTCCGGCCGGTGGAAGGGTTTTGGGATACCACTCCTGCTTAGTGGTAAGTCCAGAGGGAGAGTTGATGCTGTTGAATTTTTCAGCTGGGAGCAACAGGTTCGATATTTATAAGATGAATGAAGATGAGAAGACGTGGGATGAGGTCGAGACGATAGGTGATTATGCTCTGTTTTACGAATCGCGGAGTGCTGTCTATGTGTCTGTCAAAGATCATCCGGCGTATAGAAAGAATTGTGTTTATTTTGGGCGGGATGTCTACGATCTAGGCATCAGGCTGCTCGGTGATTGTCAAGACATTAGTCAAGCTGGACATTGGATTTTCACTCTTCTTTTTTGACATGGGTTATGTGGGGGGTTTGGGTTTTCCGATTTGATCCTCATGTTGTTCATGTGATGTATAGATAGTTATTTGACATTGCATATGCAATTACACAAGTAAATACGAATATGGAACTGTTGCAAATGTGAAAGCAAAGTAGTGAGTCCATAAATATATCAATTTCATAATTGAAATTGTTCAACTTAGTTTTAGAAGTGCTCTAGTTTCACAAGTGACATGAGAAGGTTGAGCAGTTTGTGATGATGATGGGGTGAACTGTGTTAATTAGTATACATAGGAGGTTGAGATACATCTTATGAGTCATAATGTGTCTATCTAGCCCGATCCAAAGACGTTCTGTGACCTAGCTTTTTGCAAGCTGGGAGGAGGGGATGGTGATCAATTCTAGCGTTCTTGTCGATGATTGCCGTCCTAATGTGGGAGTTCTTGCCAACGCCAATAGGGATGTTTCACTTGGAAGCCAAGAACCTCTTTTCCGCGTCAGTCTCATAATAGTAAGCACCCATAAGTAATGTATCCTCGATGATAGCACCTTTTGATATGTAGGATCGGAGCCCAACCACAAAATGATAGAGTTTGTAGTTCTTAATGGCACGTCCTTCCCCAGCAACAATGTCTGTGACATCAACAATAAGAATTTTGGACCGAGATAAGTACTGAAGTTGCGTGTAGATTGGAGAAGAACGATCGTATATAGAAGCTGAAATATGAAATTGGTTTCTTTGTTATATATTCCAAGATGTGCATTGTAGAAAGTCTCGATCATACCAATGTCATATGCATCATCATCTTCAGCCATTGGTCAAGGATGGTAGAGAATTGGAGGTAAAATTGTCTGATAGAGGTAAAATTGTCTGATGAATAGCTCATTTATGAAATTGTTCATCCTTGCCTCATCATCTTTTTGCTTGGACCAACATGAAATGTTAGTTTTCCATAAGGATTGCTAGACTTGCGATATTACAAAGGAACTTTTGCTAGGCATACTAGGCAAATTTGGTGTCATATATGCATATAATGTCCGCCCATCTATGAAATTAAGGGAAGTATCTTATAACAAAATTTGGTGTCAAGGATGGTAGAGAATTGGGGGTGAAATTGTCTGATGGAGGTATGTGAACATAAAGACAATAGGTTACTATTCCTTTTTCCTTTCACCTTTGCTAATTTCATTTGTTGTGTGATATATTTAGGGTATACATGGATTCGTTTGAACGATCTTATAGATGAGCTATTGACTTAGAAGTTTGTTTGCGGTCTAACTTTGCCTCGTTTGACGAAGAGGTGTGTACCCTTCCCCTCAATATTGTTATGCTATTTCTATGTTTTCTCTTCCATCTAGATCTCCTCCCAAGAAGGAAAACAAAGAAATGTGATTGTACATTTTTCAAGTTCTAATCAACTCATATTGATAGTACCCTATATAATCTCAATCTAGCTCTTCTTCCATCATTATCCATCCTTCCCATGTGCACAACTACCCATTTCTTCATTCTCATCGCAGTAGTTTAGACTTTAGAGTAACCAACCAACTTGTTCCTCTTCAAGTTTAAAAGAAGAAATGATAACATCTATGTCAACTTTATGTACTTTGGTTGATGTGAAACACACATAAAAATGCAATGAATAGCTCATTTATGAAATTATTCATCCTTGCCTCATCATCTTTTTGCTTGGACCAACATGAAATGTTAGTTTTCCATAAGGATGGCCAGACCTGAGATATTAGAAATGAACTTTTGCTAGGCATACTAGACAAATTTGGTGTCATATATGCATATAATATCCGTCCATTTATAAAATTAGGGGAAGTATCTTATAACAAAATTTAGTTTTCACCAATATCTCACAAAAAAATATTGTGCAAAATAAACAATGAATTCATTTCTATTCGGATTGCTAACTATAGTATCAATATGTTACTTTGAGCTAACTGCGATACTAATATATTTCTTTGTGAAGCCTATTATATATATATATATATATGCAAAGAATCATTAGCTTGGAAACCATTTGAGTTTCACAATTTATGACACATCTAAATTTCACAATTTACGCATGTACTTTATCTTTCTCGCTCCATCTATTAAAGCATGTTGGTCATTTTGGCATTGGTCCAACAAAATTATATATGTACGTGGTAGAATGTCTCGTGATTCTTGGATGGTTAATTAATGAACATCTTGTGATAATTTGAATAGTACCAGGGATTATTATGGCATTATGAAAACTAAGTAAATTTATTTTATTTTTTATTTTCCTTTTCTAGTCGCCTCTCTCTCTCAACTAAGGTTGTCAACCCGCGGGTTGACCCGGACCCGGTCGAGCTAGTGGGTCAAGGGTTAAAGGGTCAACCGTTTTAGCCCGGTTTGGCCCGGAAATATAGAAAGAGTCATTATATTGTACTTATCCTCATAAATTATATCAAATCTTGTCTAACATATGAGTTATAACATATAATATTACACCAAAATAACATATCGTACTTAGATCCAACATATAGTGAAAATTCACACACACTTATATAACATAAATATTCAAATGTTCAACTTAGTATTCCAAAGATTGAGTTAGGCGAAAAGAAAAATTGGAAAATAGGCGCATTTCGCAAACTAAAGAAAAAAATGACACAATTTGACCTCCAACCCGGTACCTTATAGTGGTCGGCCCGGCGGGTGCGTGCAACCCGTTTTTCTTACTGGGTCAGGGTCAAATTGGGTCGACCCGTGGGTCAACCCGCGGGTTGACAACCTTGCTCTCAACACACAAATCCCCCCTTTTTCTTATTTTTTTCTTGCAATTTTTTTTTTTTACATAAGGGTCACATATATTGTTTTTTTACTTTTTTTATAATTAGGTATTATTTAAAGTATTCAAACCTGAAACCTCCATATTTAAAACTCTTTCAGAACAAATCTTTGTTCCTTTTTTTTTATGAGGCTTCTTTATATTTTTAACTAGACAATTAAAAATTACAAAGTAACATCTCAAAATATACAAAGTAGAAGGAAAAAATATATAACTACAAAAAGTAACATCTCAAAGTACACATTCAACTGTTAATATTGGAGGTCATGAAGATTTGAACACACGACCACTTGGTCAAACCAGCTCTAATATCATGTGAAAAACCAATTGGTCCAATAACTCAAGTTGTTGGGAGAAGGTTATGATGGATCTTATACCACACTCTAACAGAAACAAATAGCCACTTTTTTTGCAGTTGTCTAGATGATTCCATTTGGTCGTGGGACTTGCTTCAGAGTTGTATCTCATACACTATTCATGGACAACCTATTGCTACAACATCTTATCCAAATGAGTGGTTCAAGCAGGGGATGCTACCTTTGGTTTGTTGGTTTAAAGCATTTTGAATGGTGGTCGATTGGCTTCAAGCTACTACGAAGATTGATAGAGTTCAAGCGGATCGATGGATGATGTTTTACTCCAACTCTATTTATGATAAATAGTACTTTTGCTTGCATGTTATGTGTTCTCCCATCTCTTTGTTGTATCCTTTCGGTTCGGTGGAGTTTCTGATCTTTGTTTATGCTTGGATTCTCTCTCCAAGTTTTGCACTTAACGCTATCGGACCATCTCTTTTCTCTGCAGGTCCAGATTCGGTGATATGGCAGCCGGCAGACAAGTTCAGCGTGCATTCCATGTACATCTGTCTTGCAAAGGAAAGGTACCCGGAATCATAGGACTATCCGTTTAAGATGATTTGGCAGGCTTGGATCCCGTCAAAGGTCTACACTTTTTTGTGGATTGTTCATCAACGGAAGATACTCACTCATGACTCCCTAAAGAAAAGAGGCTGATGCTTTGCCAACATGTGTGTCATGTGCACGGCTAGTGAAGAAGACGCAAACCACCTGTTTCTACATTGCAGCTTCGCTACTAGGGTGTGGTCTATCTTCTGTGCCTTCGTCCATTCAAACCGAGGTCCTGGAAACATAACACAGGTGATCGACAATTGGCCTAGAAGGAAGCCAGCAAACCTGAAAGAGTGGTGCACCTTGGTTCTTATTCATGCCTTCTGTTGGATTTTATAGAAGGAAAGAAATTCGTAGGACTTTTGATGGAGTGGCCAGCACAGAGTTCGTCGTCGCTTTCAAGATCGGCAACTTAATCGCGCAATGGTTGACAACAGCTGGTAAAGTGGATATAGGTGTTGTCAACATTATAAAAAAAAAATACATTAGTTAATAGTGAGTAGAAACCTACTATGTTGGTCATTATATGGTTTCATTATGTGGCTACCTAGTCCGATCCATACTATACTTGGCCTTCTAATAGGATGATCATGCTTAGGAAAATACTGGAGGGGTACAAGTTACTTGTACAATTTTTTAGTCGTCAACATCACCGATGACTGCACTTGCAACTTCTTATGAATGGGTCAAGTTCCGGATGAATTCTTTTTTTAGAGATGAGGCAAACAACTAGACTAACTATAAACTAGTCGAGCAATAGTCGAATCATCAACCAAAGTTGGGTTTCTGTTCAACCAATTGCTGACATGGATATCGATCAACCTGTAGTTAGCTCCTAGAGGGGCAACAGGTTTTGCCCTCTTCCTTGGTCAGTGGGTAAAGTCGGGTTCCGGCTCCAACTCTCAAGATAACTCCTAGAACACTCCTACTCGCATCAGGATCAAGACATATATGAGAGTTCCTGGAATCCAAAATAGTTCTTGGAGAAATTATCAGCGAAGTCCTTGCATTTCGTCCGCTATTCTCAAACCGTCTAACGGACAATGCCCGGGATGAAAACTTATCCCCGGATATAGGATCGGAGCCAAGATTTTAGTCTCAAGGGGAGGGATTTATTTAGTATACCAACAAAAAAAAATTCTAATTTTAGTATTTTTATTATCATAACAACACAACATATTATTTGAGTATTTGAGATCATCAAAGTCACTTTAAACTATAATTACTACATAGTATGTTCAAAAGAAATGAGTAAATTACGAACAAAAAATTAATCATGCATTTGAATATGTATCACATTTTTCAATATTTTTGTAAATGGAAAATGAATGTATGTCAATATTATGATTTGAAAAAACAATTCATTATATAACCAAAGAACCCTTGAACATAAATATTCGATATTTGAATAATTTTTTTATAAAAAAGTATAGAGATTGTATACAAAATATCCAACGGTAACATGATGAAAATTTTTATTGGTCAAATCCATATGAAAAGCGCAATTAAAAAATGGAAAAAATAATTAATTAAGCATTTCAATATGTGGCATATTTTTTATATTTTCATAAATGAAAAATTAATGTCTATCAGCATTATAATATGAAAAACAATTAATCATATAATCATACCTACCTTTAAGTTTAATATGTGCAAAAAGAACACAGAATTCAAAATGAAAATAAAATAAATAAAAATAAATTATTTGCTATCTAGAGTAGGATAGATTCGATCGGCTGACTTTGTGGTGGGAGAAGACCAGCTCCGCCAATAGATCACTTCTAGTATCTTGTATTATAATTGCGCATAATGTACTTATTAATGACATATAGTTTATACGTAATATCCATATTCTTTATAGATTTTATGCATAACTTCTGAATTCTCGAGGAAGTCGGGACCCCCTGAGCCCCCACCTAGCTTTGCCCATTCTCGGAGAGTTTTGACAACGAAAACCCCAATCTCTTGTCTCAAATTTTTGCCTGACATTGTGTAGGGAGGAGTAGAAGCTAACGGCGACGGTGGCGCACTTTGAGAGCTCCGATCGCCGCAGTAGCCATTTTTGTTATGCTCAGATGATTTTGCGGAGCTCTAGCTTGAACTTCCCTATGAAGTTAAAGGGGAGTTTCTTATAACAAAATTTAGTTTTCACCAATATCTCATAAGAAATTTAGCAATGAATTCATTTATAATTGGATTGCTAACTATAGTATCAAATATCAATATATGTTACTTTTGAGTGATACACCAATATATTTCTTTGTGAAGCATATTATATATATGCAAAGAATCATTAGCTTTACGTGAAAAACTTTTGAGTTTCACAATCTATGACACATCTAAATTTCAGAATTTACGCATGTACTTTATGTTTCTCACTCCATCTAATAAAGTATGTTGGTCATTTTGGCGTTGATCAGAACCAAACTATCGAGTAAGAGTGGAAGCATGAGGTTTGCTTTGCTACCATCAAGTAAACGACATGTGTGTGATAGAAACATCTCACGACTCTAGGGTGTTTGGTCAAGTGAATAATCCTTTCAAATTTTTAGATCAAGGTTTATAAATTAAATTGTCAAATTAAGAAACCTTTTAAGTTAATTAGTGTTTACACCAAAAATAATTTTCATTAATTATTGTTTGTGTGAACAACTTGGCCAATTTAAGTAGTTGATCCATGTGTACATGGATGGTCCAATTTATCAAGTCGGGCCGTAGGATTAATGGATGGTAGTGTCCAATATCATGGATACCATCCAAATCTCATTATGGATGGTAGTGTCCAACATTATGGATACTATCCAAATCCCATTATGGATGGTAATGTTCAACATTATAGATACCATCCGAACCCTATGATTAGTAATGGCAATGGGGCAGGTCCGGGGCGGGTTTCTTGGTACCCAGACCTGCCCCGTGGCAGGGCGGGTCCAGGTCAGGTAATTGATCACGGGTCGCGGGTCGGGGCAGGTCGACTCAATGGGTATGCAATTTATTTGAAAAATATTAGAAATATTCGTTATTTTTATTATAAAACTAAGAAAATAAACAATATTATGACAATTGTAGTTAAATTATTGGAGAAATTGAGGTTTTCACTAATTTACAACTTTATTATAGCTAAAATATGATGCGATAAAAGTAAAATTCAAAGTAATTTGACTAAGATTTCATGTAATTTAGACAAGAACGAGTCGAGAATGGGGCGGGTCAGGGCAGGTCGGGTCGATGAGACTACCCATGCCCGCCCCGTCCCGCCTACGGGGCGAACCCGCCCCAAAACAGGTCAAACAGGTCGGGTAAAACGGGTCAGGTCGAAATTGCCATCCCTACCTATGATGGATGGTACCATCCAAGATTAGGGACACCATCCCAAATATGATGGACACCATCCAAACTCAAAGTGGATGGTGTCATCCAACAACATGGATACCATCCATGTTATTTGGTGTATGGTGACCATCTAATTGTTCATCCATGGTACATAGGATTGATTGTCCAAGGACATGATGATGTGTCGAAGTTGGTTACCAGAAGCAACAACTGATTTGCAAAGTACGCTCGGAGGAGTTACTGGATGCTACGTGGAGGTGATTTAGAGGAAGAGAGAGAAAGAAGGCGGTTAGAGGACGAGACACAACAAAACTTGCAGCAAGACTCTGGAGAAGGGACAAACAAATCAAATCACAACAACTCTCGTCAAAATTCATCTTTTCTCTAGAACAATAACAATAACAGTAGCAGTAGCGCCAGGGACCCTCCAACGAGGCTTCTCTGTTAGTTGTAGTAAGTAGTTGCGGAGCTCTCAAGGAATCTCCATAGGAGTAGAGGTAAAAGTAGCCAGCTCCTTTGATGTATGCATCGAACACCCTCGTTCGAACAGTGTTTGAAGAGGTGTGAACTGAGTAATATTGTTTTCTATTTTCTTGAAGTCAGGGTGCATTGATCACGCGAAATTCCACCTGAAACAAATTGGCACACCTGGTGGGACAATGTGTGTGTGTTCGATATGGCTCCGCCACGAAGGATTCAGGATGGTGATCCTCCACAAAGTTCTGTGGAGGAGGGGCAGTTGGTCAACGTTGAAATTGACCAAGCAGGAGGAAACAATGCTGGACCAGAGGTGCCACCAATGGTGCCTAATGCAGATCCAAGTGAAGCAGCACCATCAATTCGCCAAATGGTGGAGGAGACTCGCCAATTGGTGGTTGGGATGAATAGAAACTAGGGTTAATACCACTAGGAAACCCGAACTATTAACTTTGTGTCATTTGTATCCTAAAGTATTCGATATGACAATTGTGTCCCAAACTATTTTTCCGTTATGGTTGACTGCGTTGACCGTTAGTTTTAAATAGAAAGTCTAATAAGCGCTGATGTGGCATCTGACGTGGAAATTAAAAGGATAAAATAACAAAAAATGGAAATTAAAAGAAAAATTAAAAAAGTGGAAATTTCGTTCGCTTTCCCAGATTGGCTCTTCACCTTTTCCCCGTAACCCTTCTGTATTCCGCCGAAAGAGAGAGAAAGAATTAGATAGGGGAAATCAGAGCATAAGCTTGTGCTTCAATGTCGATTCACCGGAAGAAGTAGCCGATCGTCTACTTGCTACAGGCGAATTCACTCAAGAGCAGACGCCTTCCCTCAAACCACGCCAGTCGACCATCCACCCGCTGCCGCTGCTGAGTTCGTAGGGTGAGCTTTGAGATTGCTACCCACAGCAAGCCTTTCCGGTGGCGTGGCTCCGATTATTGATGAAATGCTTCAATGAGGATGGAGACGAGTGAACCCAACCAACAAAGAAAGTTCTCTCTCTCAAATCACGCCGTTCGCTTCCGATCTTTCTCTCTCCGTCTCCACGCTTACGGAGAAGTTCCCCTGTTTCCTTTCCCCGATTCCGATCGGCATTCGTCCTCCGCCTAATCAGATTCCGGCGATAATGGCTGAAGCAAACGCTAATCCCGCAACTCCTGCTCCATTGGTTCGTAATCTCCACTTACTAAACCCTTGTTTTTGTTTTCCCCAATTTCATGTTCGATTCAGAGGTTCTTCTCAGGCGGAAACTCGGTCGAGGGACTTGCAACCTTTCAATTAGGGCTTAGAACGAAGCGGGGTCCTTATGATCGCTTCATTATCGGAGTTCGGAAGTCCGTGCGTGGATAGCTCAGGTGAATCTTCAGCGTCGGATGTTTGATTTTTATTTTTTGTTTTCAATTTGTGTTGTGTAGACGAAAGAGGAGGAGGCGAGGGCGGCGGTGAGAGTGGCGGAGAGGAAGACGAGAATGTCGCCGCCGTTTCCTTTTTCCTCGGCGGAATTTGATTAGAAGAAGAAGAGGAAAGCTTATGAGGGTTTATTTTTTATTTTTTATACTACTCTCTATTATTATTTATTTTTTAATTAAAAATATGAGGTGTCATTGACGTGGCATCTATGTGGCTGCCACGTCAACAAAAGTCAATGTTAATGTTGACTTCCGTTTGGTCAACCGTTATCTATAACGGTCAACGAAATCGTCAGGACATAAATGACACACAACTATCATACATTGTGACACAAATGTCATATCGAATACTTTAGGACACAAATGGCACAAAGTTAATAGTTCGGGTTTCCCAGTGATATTAGCCCTAGAAACTACCAGCAGGTAATTCTTCATCTTGCTTCTTTGGATGAGCGCACTGATGGTTTGAGTTCACGTACTGATAGACGATTTGCTCAATTATTTGAGTTGGTAAACAAAAATACGAATGATTTGGTTGAGTTTAGGAAATTGTTGAACAGACCAGTTTTACAGACCAAGGCTTTGTCTTCGGATGGTCGAGACATTCCAAATCTTGAAAGTGAAAACGTTAACCTACCATCCAATGGTGGTGGTCGAGGTGAGCAACCACGCCCGGTGAACCCTACACCACCAGGGGCAACCACCGTACCAACACCTCACAGGGTGAATGTCGGCGAGAGTCACGCCACTTCATCTCACATCCATGTTGAGCAACCGCCACCTGTGCAAGGTGTTGCTCGGCAAAAAATTCCAGAAGCCAAACATACATGGCTCCTGTTAATGTTGGGATGAGTTTAGGTCCAAACAATGTTGACCTGATACCACCACGTGTGTACCTCTCTTTATCTTAAACCTTTTCAGTTTCTCTTCAGCTTGATTTCGGGAACTCAACCATCTAATTGCAACCCCGTTCCCGTTCTGTTCACGTCCCATCTTCCTCCCGATTCCATTGTCGCCATCCCCTTGTTGTCGTCCACCCGACGCCGGCAAATTCAGCCACCGTATATTTATTATCTCCTGCATTGTCCACATTCCATCAGTCCGCTTTCCCGAGAAATCATAGTGGGATCCTAAACCCTATTATGTCATTCTAAGTTGTAAGAGACGACAACCTAAGGTTCAGCCGCTAATTATAACGGAGGGGCATATTTGATGATGGATTTATACTACAAGGGATGTTTGATAATAAAAATAGTACAAGGGCATATTTGATAAAAGTGCATAGTATAGGGGCATATTATACTTATAACCCATAAAAATATACCAACTAATATTACGAAGTCATATCGCTTCCATGACATTTGATAAAATATTTTTGAGTAAGATCTTGAATAAAAGCAAATTATGCAAAATATAACAGAGAAGCGATTCACAAGCGATTCCTTAGTGCCGAGGCAAAACAGGATGAAAATTCGAAGTATATAATTTTTCTTTTTGTAGATAGATAACATGCTTCTTTCTGGAGTAAGTCAGCAAAAACGAATGAGGTTCGTTTAGTGGTAATACCACTATTTATGGTGCGGAATGTATCAGGTTCGAATGCCTTTAATAGTACCTAAACAACAAAAAAAGCAAATAAAGGATATGCTTCCTTACAATCATTTCAGCATCAACTTACACCATTCAATGACTTCTCTTAGCACAACAACTCTCAGCTAGATTCCTCTCCCTTTCAGACCATACCGGTTGCATGGGGGTTAGAATTCAGCTGGTTTTGATACGCAATGCAAGACAGTCTAGAAAGTTCTGGAGTATTTCCTGATCTCGTACATGATGGAGGATATGGAGATGAGATCTTTGTTGAGAGCCGATCCGCCAGTGATTCTCTTGATGGAATCGGATAGCCTAGTGTAGTAAAGGAGGAGTTGGGTCAGTGCAGCCCTCAGGATCTCCATCCCGCACAAGAAGTTGCTGAATGACGTGATGACGTCTTTGTGCATCAGCTCGATCGCGGCTTTCCACCGACTGGCGAAGTCTTTGACGAGTGGTTCGACTTCTGAGGTAGTTAGGGGCTTATCTTGATTGGAATTTGGGTCCTCCGCTGAGAAAAAAAGTTCATAAAAACAATTAGCAATAAAGAGATGATTGTTGAAGGGAATGTTAATATTTGTACTTGCATATGGTTGAAATGCTCACAAGCTCGAGTCTTGACGAACTTGATTAGGTCCCCAAAATGCTCCATAAGGAGCTCCTCCTGCAAGGAGAGATATGTAAGAAGAAAGCTAAAGCCGAGAAAGCACTTTGACATTGAGGTAGGGCACAACCAAAGACGTTATGGAGTGCATGATTCTTCCAGGTTTAAGCTTCTTCCTAAAAGTGCAGTTTCATTGTTCCCTTAAATAGATGATGATGTACCATGCACCAGCAATACTTTAACCGACTTATTTCCCTTGCACAAAATATTGTATGTCTGTGAATCATGCTTACCACGAACAATGCCGTATTGCTCTTCAGCAGTTCCTCAAAATGCATTTGAATTTTCCCGCCTTCAGGGCCTGCTTCCTGCAATTCATTAAGGGCAAAGTAAACAAGAATTAAAATATGAACTTTCCTTCACACTGAAATCGCAAACTATGTTAAGTTCGTTTTTTTAACAAGTACAACACGGATTCATCATTCATACCTTGACTACAGCAATCGTCATGTCGTAATTGTTTATAAGGAACACAATCTGTTGTTTTGGTTTTGTGAATGTTTTAGCAAGCTTGATAATCAAGTCATCAATAGCCATTCTGAGCCTTTCCATATTCAATTCAAGCTGCATATATATAAAAGGTCTTAGAGGCTGTAAGCACTTATCCCGAAAATTGGAAGAGGAGGAAGAAAGCAATAATCTGACCTGCCCATCTCCATATTCGACGTTGAGATGAATAAGAGAAGCAGTGAATTCAGCATAGCGCCTCATGACATAATGAGGATGGATATCATCTTCCCACAATGTCTTTATATTAGCATTCCTCAAGCTACTAAGGTGCATGTCGAACACGAGCTTGAAACGGGGCCACAATGCTATATTAACCTGCCCATCTCAAATATATTATGGGCATGTTTGTTTCATATAAACAATAAGCTTGTTTAAAAACTGAAACATACGCACTTCATCAATCTAATGTTTTAGAACAACTCTTCAGGGTGGACGTCACAATTTACTAAAATCTACAAGCCACTTCACTGATAGCACTTCGTTTCCAACTGGTGCTCAAATAAAGATAACTAACCTTGTCAAGATATGAGTCCAAACAGGGAATTCGGCGCCGAGACATAGTTAGCTGAAAAATAAAACAAAAAGGATTCAGCAGTAGAAGAATGAGATTCATTGCCAATTCAAACTGGTAGTCATCAGCAGAAAGGCTTGCAGGGACCGTCACCTGATGTTGATGTATGATACGAATCATTAGCATTAGGCCCATTGCATCATAACTGTTTGGCAGTATTGAATTGAAGTGCTCATCAATCGCAGCAAGGGGACCTAAGAAATCCAGAGAGACAAAATCAACAGTTGCATTGTGCTATGCATATTTAGGCAGCATCGATAATTATATGCAGGCATCCAATATCTTTCTCTGTTACCAGCAAATATTTCATTAAACATGGACTCTTCCCCAAAGAAGTTATCACAGAAAAGATACCTGCACGACGAGGAGAAAATCAAAATCCATACACTGCCAGCAAGGGAAAATGAGAAGGAACAAGTATCTGAAAGTTATTCCATCATACTCTGAAGTGGCTGTATCCAGTAGCAGCTTGTGTAAGCTCCTGAAGAGGACCTCATAAGGATACTTCTGGGAACTGGCTTCAGCTATATGTGGAATCAATGCTGGCTGCTCAATTTCCTGTAAAAGTAATTGAAGTCAGGGAAGGTTTCAAATTTTGATACCAAGAAGGAGGCTCAAGCAAAACCACATTATGCACCAATAAATATAAGAAGTTTCAGTACAGACTAACAGGATAAGCCAGACAAGGTTGACATGTAAATAATGTTCTCCAATCTCTGCCATGCATACACTTGCTTTTATGCTATCAAAGGAGTGATGCATGAGTTCAAAAAATGAAGTATCTATAATAATGCCACGAATCTTTAGGAATAAGTCTGGGAACCCAGTATAGAAATAAAGTAGCTTAAGAGAGAGTTGGTATGGAAAGAAAACTAGGGAGAAGTATCTTTACCTTCAAGATGCTAATCCTATCTCCCACAGCAAAAACAGCAGATCGATTCTTCAGCGGCTCTCTGGCTCTCGAAAACAAGCCAGTACTTCTGGTCTCCACACCAATCAAATCACTCGAAGTTGCTATATCTAACTGTAGTTTCTCCAGCGCTTGAATGTATGCACGGAAACATGCACTTAGAACCTGAAAAACGCAAAGCTCGGGAATAGAACTTAGGACCTTGCTTCCCCGACTGCAATTATACTGGTACAGGTACCATGATCCTATAAAATATACGAGACAGATTAGACCACCTTGTTCATTGTGTCAATGTACGCAGCGCGAACTTCAGTGTACACCTCCTTGCCATGCTCTTTTAAAAAGGAAATGACATACCTAAAATTTGAGTCAAATGCTTATAAGACACTGATACAGAAGCGGCAGCAAGACATCAATTGACGCAAATAGTTCACTGAAGTGGATGATTTCTACCACAAAGTACCACCATTTTAAGGATCAAAATGAGAGAACATAATTAATCATGCCCTATAATTCATTAGAGGCGTCAAACCAAAGCCAGAGATGTAACTCACTTGTACTTTGAAAGAACACTTTGTTGAAGGATCTGGATATTCGTTTTAGGTTTTCTCAGAGCTTGAAGCTTCTGAACAATGAAATCAAAAACCTGGAGAAAGAGATAAGCATCAGTTAGCAACGTTAATTCTCCAACGAATCCTGTTGAAGGACAACAAGGTGTACACACAATGACACACCCATTACCTTGGACACTGCTTTCTGCCTCAGCTTGTCAAGCTCAGGCTGTACATCCTTCAGAGCTTTAGAAGTTTTAATCAAAGAATCGGACTCAACGAAAATCAACTTCTTACTAAGCATCTCGAGAGTTCTCAAATACTCATCATTGACCTGCATAAAAATCCCACTGCAAGTATGTCAGAACATATAAAGACATGACTTACAACGTACATTAAAAATTATGCATTATTATGCAGACAAACACAGAAACCAGCATCAGATTGCAACTTTTACAGTATAACAGATTTCTTAGATATTTAAAAGACACACGTAAAACAATTTGCTAAAAGATGCTGCCTGTTTCTAGGAAAGAATTCAGTAATAAGGAAATTCTCACGAGATCCAGAAAAGAAAGAACATCTTTAAATCAAGAAGCTACAAATACCTCTCCGTCAATAATCACATCAACCATTCTGGGTGGGACTATAATGTCTTCGACAAATTTTTCTAGCTTTGATTCAGCAACCTGTTCATCAAGAAAGCAGAAAACAAAGATTATATAGCTTAATCTCTTTGACCAACTAAAGAAATGGTCACTCCAATAGTAATGAAGGACTTCCAATAGAACATGTCCTATGAAACGAATACCTTCCGGTTTTTCAGCCTTAGACCCATGTCCATAGACTTCTCTTGAAGAATTTTTATGTCCGAACCAATAGAACCAATCTCAGTCTACCAAAAACAAGAACAAATTTCACAGATGATCAGGAAAAACTCAACACCATAACTTGTTCTCTAGTTCCATCGCTACCTAAGAATCTAAACTGAAGCCAGAAGTATAGCAAAAGAAAATAGTCCAACCAACATACCTGGAACCCACTGAGGAGGGTCTCCATCTGTGACAAGATGCTGTCGCAGTCACGAATTTGTTCATGGAGAGACACCAAATTGTCACTTTCTTTTATATAATCCTGCAAGTTTATAATAACATATATCACTACATCCCTTGAAGAATCCATGACTGCCCACCAAGCAAAAGAAATGAGGGAAGAATGAACGAACCTGAATCGAATCCAATTCAACCTGCCGCAAATTGTTCTCAACTCCTTTTGTATACTCCCTCAGCTTTGTACCCTTGGACAAAATATTCTCAACCACCTAGGAGACCGGAGAAAATAAAAAGAATCGAACTTAGATGTTTATCAGTTATCACCAAAATGTGAAGACCATCCATCATATATCTTCTCAACCTGCAACTACCCAACAACTCTGGATACTTGACAAGAACGATGTTTCAGACCATAGATCATACAGAGACCAGATGCATTTACAGTGAAGTAACTTACATCATCGCCTTTGCACTCTTCCAGCTCCTGCTCCAGCCCTTCAAGCGATATTTCATCACTAAAGCAAAACCAGCCACATTCGAAACCAATTCCCCCTGATTTCCAAACTAAGTAACAAAAAGCAAGAAACGAAAGTGAATCAATCAGTCACCTGCTGGCATCGTCATCCAGAGCAGTCAAATCACCTACGAACGCGCCCAAATCAAACACGCTTCTCCCGCTATCAGCTCCATCCCCGGGAGTCTGCCAATTCGACAAGCAAAAAGAGTAAGAATCGCAACTACGAGCTCAACGATCCATAATTATTCTATTTCCCCAGTGATTCGTCCAGAAGGAGTCTTACCTGCGGCTTCGCAACGGCAATTTCCTTCATTGATGCGAGTCACCAAAAATCCCCGCACAATGCGCCGAGCACCGGACTAGTAGACTAAAGATCAAGCTCCTCCTTCAGACTTACAATGGCGGTATGAGAGATTTGGAATCCCAGCTAGGCGCTATGGATGAAACAGCAAAAATGGAGAAGGCGCATCGGTAGATTTGGAACCGCGGGAGGGAGGGAGATGGGGAAAAATGGAGATCTCAGTTAGCTTCGTCGTCAGTCGTCACACTTACTCGTCAGCGAGGAACAAACGATGCCGTTTTAACAGTTACAACGAGACTGTGGCTAGCAATGGCCTCTTGTCAATCCCGATTAGTTGGGCCGCGGGCCTTTTTGGGCCTAAGCTTCCGTAATTTATTTTTCCTTTTCCGTTAAGTAAAATTATTTTTCTCGTGATAGCAATTAGTTAGTTAAGGGCTTTCTGTTTAAAACGATTTAGCTGTAATGTGAAACAAGGAAATGTGATCAAATTAACATAAGTCATCTGATTACCATTAACAAAGGGGTAACTTAATACACATAACGACATTAGAATGGAGGAGAGATATACTTCCTGCCTAACTAACAAACTTCATTTACTCATAGGGGGTTACACATTAAGTTAAACAACTACAGCCTTAATCTAGATCTTAAAAATTACAGCATACAATGGTTAAATAAGAATTATATAACATTCCGACGGCTCGCTTCCTTCTTCGTTCTTCCTCATTTGAACATGGTATCTCAGTCCCCGGATAACAATCAAGGTGGCTGGTGATTGGAATTAGGAATAAGCTTTCGGAGGCCCTCTCATGATTCATCCTTCTTCAACCTAAGCTTTTCTACATAAAGAGAGTACCAGAAATGAAGGTCAGGGGGTACATTCATTGCGTTGATCACTTTATCTTGATCTAGTTTAACTGGATAGAACAGAAAAGGGAGATGTAAGGTACCTCAGTTGGGGACGGAGTGATGGATTCCCTGTCGAGAAAATACGAGAATCGCCATTTTCAAATCGTGGATCGAGAGAAAGAAATAGAAGTGTTGCATTTTGTTTAATGGAAGTGAAAGGAAATGAAAATTGGGGGTGAGGGGGTTGTGGAATTTACCTTGGCGGCCTGTCGGACTTAGGAAGATGTTTAGACATGAGGGATGCCTGCAGTTAGAATCGACAAATCATTTAAAGATTCTTGATGTCTAGTCTTCATGGGCAGCAAAAGATGCTTAGCGCAAGCTTAGAAGTGAAAGGAATTGTCCCACATTTTTTAACAGCAAGGTGGGTACCATAGATCCATAATTTTGTATCAGGCGTAGACGAAAAGAAGATTGATACCTGCTCTTGGATTATGCTCCTGGCCTCAACAAGTTGAGCTTCGAGCTCAAGTTCTCTCTCAGTAGCTTCTGACGTAACTTCTGCTTCCTTCTGTGCATCTTGCAATTCGACCATGCGCTCCTTCAAAAGCAAAGGCAAACAGACATCAATATCTTCCAGCTGCAACACCCACATAACAAAATTGACGATAAATTCAAATTACAAAATGGTAGAAACCTTTATGGATGCCATCTTATTTCGAAGGCTTTCTTCTATGTGATCCCTAGCCATGTGCAAAGGCATATCAAACAGATCCTGAAAAACCTTTCAATTATATCAACAGCTGTGATTGACAACAAACTCTAAAAGAACCCATTGTTAAAAAGCTACCATACCGTCCTTCCTCCCAAAGGAGACTGTGTAGGGTCAACTTCAGGTCGGTCATTGACTGGCAAAGACTGCTTGGACGGACCGTTTGGAGCATTGATGAAATCACGCATGTCAGTCTGCATGCAATCCACAACCATAGATTTAGCAAACTGATGCACGCACTTACTAGTAACTAGAAAGCAAGTTCATCTCAAACAGGGCACAATGGGTGATAGTGAGAGCGGCCTCGAGTTATATAAAACTGCTGGAAAAATGATTCTTTCACCAGTCTACCCAAGATTCACTCTTTAGGCTCATGGGCCATCCAAAGTTGCAAGCTTACATAACTTATGATCCATTTATACAAATATGGTGTGGGAGTGATGAGACTTGTGGTCATAGAACCTAGCACAATATCGGTAAGAAATGGAGATAAAAAATGAACCTGCATTGACCGTAACAATGCCCTCAGGTCATTATTCTCATTCATCAGTTCCTGGTTTTTAGCCTCATATGCATCAACCTGAAAACGCATTTGGTTAATTAAACCATTAAAACTACCAAAGTAGCTCAAGAAACACTCAACGTAAGTCACTCTGCATACAATTTTCTTATAGAAGTCAGTATCAGTCTTCTTTCCATTCCAAGTACCTCGCTGCCGCCCTTCTTTCTGTTAGAGACATCATACAGGTTATATAACATAACAAAGCATCTCACTTGGATAAGAAGGAAAACAGTATGGAGTGCACAATGATCAAGTTGCAACCTGAAGCAAATTCATAATCTCCATGCCAGACCTTGATTCCTTCTTTTTCTCCATCAGAACTTGATTTAGCTTCTCCTACAGGGCAGAAGAATCATTCAGTTCCGCTGGGTATAACCTCAAATCTTACAAACAAAAATCACCTCTTCGCTCTTTTCGATCTAGACCTATTTACAGAAGAAGAACCAACCTGTAGCTTTATGTACTCCTTTTCTCTCTTCTTCATTTCATGAATTTGTTGAGTCCTCACTTGCTGCAATAGCATCCGGGTACAACCAAAATTGTCTTCTGTCAGGTCTGTAATTTCTACCAGTAACCCAAAAATAGAAGACAGAAAATGAAGTAAGCCTCAAGTCCCTAACCTGATTACCAATCACCATCCTTTGAAACTCATCTCTTTCCTGCTGAAGTTTTTCAATCTGGGCCTTGAATGCTGCTGCAGCCTTAGCATCCTGCATCCATTACCCTCCATGTATCAAATACTTGATCAACCAATCACGCTGACAAGCTAAGCCTCCACGAAAGATAATAAATAAATAAATAACCAATTTTCTAACCGTTCTGGTAATTGTAGCAATTTCCCTTTCCTTCACTTGTAGCTGTGCCTCAAGCCTCTCAACCTTTGCTTCCAATCTTGATATATCCGACGACAGCCTAACAACCCAAGTAATACACATTTTAAAAAGTTTCACTGAAGTTTTTCCCCGAATCTGAATTGCAATCAAACAACCAACTAATAAATCAATAGAATCCTCACTAATTCCGCAATGGCATATCCACAATCAAGTTGTGATCTACAAAACAAAGAAAGAAAGCTGAATTCACCTCTGTCTCTGATCATTAGCAGACTCTCTGAACTCAATATCTCGCTGCCTCTGCTGGAGCAGAAAGTAAATGCAATTGCACGTCCGAGCAATCGAAACCTAAAACCAGGCGAAACCCAATTCTCTTTCAAATCCGACTGACCACAAACCAGCAGCAAACCGAAGCAAACAAACAAGTAGCTCGCTCAACCAACCGGATCAGTAGCGAAGAGATCAAGGGAGGCAGGAAAGCCGAACGTAACGAGCGTCTGGTTCAAGTACTTGGCGCAGTGTTCCAAATTCCCAGTATCAGCAAACCTGCTTTCCCTACAAACCATACACAAACCGCCACAATAATCACAAGGTATAAACGTCGCGCCATTTCCCTACAGCTGGACTCCCCATTCAAAAGAGCGAGGTAAGAGAAAGCTCACCCGCCCGAGAAGGAGAACGAAGCAGAAGCCTGAGGCGGAGAAAGAGAGAGTTAGACGAGAAGCTTCAGCAATCGAGTAAAGTAAAGGGAGAGTGAAGGAAATGAGAGATCGTACTCCTAGATCCAAGCCGGAGTCGGCCATTGCCGCCATTGTTGTTGGAGAGAGGTAGAGAACGTGGGGAATGGGGGATGTTTTTTCTGTTACGGATTGTTTGGAGAAGGAGAAGAGCATGTCCGGCGATAGATCTGCCCGTCTATCTGCCTGACAAAAAGCTGAGCGATTGAATCAGATTGGGGGAAAAATAAATGGAAAATCGTTTATTTTTGGCACCACCGCACCGATGCAAATAAATCCTCTAATTTAAAATTGCCTCCAGAGAGTTCGGGCCGCGATTTGGCCCAATAAGACTGTATTTTAACAACCTTCAACAAGGCCGTTAGAAAGGTCCAGTTCTACTCGCGTCCATTATCATGGGCTGGAACAGGCTTCACTTGAACCAAAATAGTGTGGTTAGTCCGTTTAATTCACGTACGTAGTAACAATTATTTTGCTAAATTGTTATAACTATCATTAGTTTGGAGATAAACTAAAGTGTACGATACATATTGTATACTAGTCACGGGCCCGGCCAGTTGGCCGGATTGCCAATCTCGTAAACAATTGTAACAATTTGTATGCGAGATATGCGTTTCTTTGGTTGTATGAGAAATTATAACTTATTCAAGTACGTCGAAACATTCAAATTGTTTGGTAGTATAAGATAATACAAATTATTAAAATAATTCAACCATTCAAAAGGAGCAACATAATAGTATTTTCCGACACTCTAACCGATTAATTGACCAAAATGCTTTTATGAAAAATGAAAGACAAAACTCCATGAAAGAGAAATTACTCCTAAAAACATTTTCAAAACACCTTTCTATCTACTCATCACCGTTATAAATTACGTACTATATGTTTTCTTTTTTACTTGTTCGCATTGCCTCCTTCATGAGCAACATCATCATCTCCACCAGTAGTAATATCTTTGTCTCCATTAGTGATACATTGATCTCCATTATCAATTGCCTCTTGCTTCTTTTCTTGCATTTCAATTCTCTCTTCCTTTTTCTCCTGCATTTCTTTGAGCATACAAATATATTGGTAAAATATTTAGTTATTTACAAATACACATAATCTTTTTCATTATTGTTCTCTTGCATTAGCATTATGAATTTAAATTATGGACATTCCAAAGCACAACATATGATGCGGTTTTATCGAATCGTAAGTCTTTAATATATGCTGGAGTAAAAGTTGTAGCCGGATACAATTGCTTGCATGTTAGTACGATATGAACCAAAGTTCCACTGGAATTTTAAGATATAAATGACATGCTTTTGTGTATAAATTAAAGAATATGGCTAAGTGTAATTTTTTTTTTTTGCCCGAGGCTAAGTGTAATTTATGCATGGATTAAAAATTGAAGGCATATATTTATGAAGGTATTAAAAGCGAAGGCTTATACACTTGATTATACAACCAAGTATACAATTGCATGCATACTTGCGAAAAAAAAGTTCCACTTGAGTTTAAGTTATATAATTAGATGCATGTCTCTAGATATTAAAGAATACAACTAAGTATCATTGCATGGTTCAAAAATTGATAGGTTTAAAAACTAAAGGTATATACACAGTACACTTGAAAATATACTTATAATTTACCCTTGATAGCTGTTTAATTAGTGGATAATAGAAAAAATTAATTGCATAACAAAATCAATATATGTGAAGTTTGACATGGTATGCATGTTAATTAAATAATAATAAGATGATGCATATTCCAAATATACTCTAAATCCAACAGAGAGTACCACAATCAAAACAAATTTCAATTTATGATAAAAAATAAATTTCAATTTTTTGGAAAGTAAATGAATTATGAACATCATAGCAAAGCAAACTGCGATAGGAAATTGTCCCTAACGAATGTGAAATCCAAACTTTCGTGATAAGAAAATAATTTAATTTGAGGTAGGAAGACCTTTTTCATCAATATGAGTACCTATTATAATCTCCACTTTAATAAACCATGTGTATATATAGTCTCTTGATAATAATCATTGTGTCATTGCAAATATATTTACTTTGATCCATATTTCTCAATAAAATTTCAGGGCATCCAACTCCCTTCTTCAATTGAATATGATATCATTCACTCAATACTTTCTAAATTTCCCTCCTAAAAGATTGCACGTTAGACACTTGATAGTGGATAAGAATTGCGGCAAACAAATTCCTTACTTTATATCCAGAACCCTGAAAGGAAACTTCTTCCAAGATGTCACTCCACTCATCATCCGGCAATAACCCAAGAACATTACATGGTTATTGAAATGAATCATAAACTACACCATTAACTGTTCTAATTTCTTCATAAGAATGACAATTTTTGACTACATGCGAAGATAAATTCTTTCTTTGTCTGATGGAGGACACTTATATAATCTTCCAATACACACTTTGTTCTTCCTCATTAACCACCTTCTCAATTATTGGTCCAAATGAAACATTGAGAGAACTCCACAAAGTATATTTGACACATGACATACACAACACTTAAGATGAACTACATCTAACATCAAACTTAACAAATTCTTCAGCATGCTTCACCTGATGTTATGTAGCGACAATCTAGAAATGCTTTAATCTCATCAATATAAACAAAAGTTATGAAAGAATTTCCTTGGTTTTGGGGTTGTTTTCCATTACCACCTATTAAGATTTCAGAGTCGCCATTGCTTTGTCTTCATAATTGTCAATATATATAAACAAATACTTGATAGCCCTTAAATAAAATAGTAAATTAATCGTATAACTCGAAATGTTCAATTAACGTAATAATAAAGTAAAAAAAATCTATTGAAATATGAAAGCGTTATATATTGGCTATTTAAATTTGATTTCACCGTATTTCGATCTATATTTCCAAAAGGTAAGTTTATGGAATTTTGGTGAACATTTTATTCTCTTGGCGTAGTGAGTTACATGTCTAAATTAATAATATGTAGAAAAATCATAATGAATAAGCACACAAGCCTTACACGCTCTGCAAAAATTTCAGAAAACCATTTTCCCTAACTAAACTATAACAATACAGTAGCAAAAATATTGATAATAAAATGCTCCTAATCCTAGCCATGATAATATGGTTAATCATATAGCAGCTTGATATCCTATGAGAATATAGTAAATACTTTGTTACAATGATAATATGAAGAACAACTAATGAAAAATAGTTCCTGAGAAAAAACAAACTGACACGAGAAGACCCCATTATAATTTGCTTTGAAGTATTTACTTATGGGCATATTCAAAACCTATGGAGAGCTACTTTCGAAGAGGAAGGTTCACTTCGCCATATTTGTAACACAATGAAAATTTTGGTTGGCGTTAAAAATTATATGCACCTTTGATTAACTAACCACCCTTAATCTTGAAAAGTTAATTAGCTACCTATCATATTCTTATTTTCATACCAAAATATATAGTCATCATGATAAATCTATTTAACATTCAACAATTTTTAAATGCCCTTAATTGACTAACCATCCTATTCAATATTCATATGCATATTTCTCTTTTTTTCCCTCCCTACGTATAACATAGCTTTAGTTGATTCATGCGTGTAACATAGCCACAACCACAGGCCTAAAATTTATAATAACAATTAACAATAATTAGCCGCTTGCTTGGCCGCCTGCTTGGAATAAGTAGAGGACCTAAAGTCCCATATCCTAACAATACATATAGTGCCCTTCAATTATTTTCGTGTCCCAAGTATGCAAGGAAAAGAAGAATGGGCCTGGCCCAATTTATTCAATAAATGCACAAGTAATTTACCAAAATCTCCTGCCGTGGATTGCGCAGAGAGCTAGGAAAGGGGAACTAAGGGGGTTCCGGCCAGGAACCTCCATATAGTATTGTTAGGAAGTATAACAATGATTTTATAGATAACTTACCCGTATAGTGGCGGATCCAGGGGTGGCCACCCAGTGTCACGACCCAGCCCTTCTCTGAATCCGGAGCTAGTATAGCCATTATGAGTTTATCGATTTTAGCCATTCGGCTCAGTGTTATTTTATAATAAGATTGTGTATAATTAGGAAAATGGATAAGATGAACATATTCAACTCTAAATTTAGCCTGAAAATTCTAGCTTCAATGATTCTCATCTAAAGAAAAACAAACAATGAAACCTAAAATTCTAAAACGTAAAAGACTAAAAGAAATATGAGGTTTGTTCGCTTAAGAAATTACTAGAGCACCTGGTGAAAGTAGAATTTGATACACAATATATATATTGATTAGTCAATTGATTTGTCTAATGTTGACATTGCTCATTTCAACAACTACTATGTAGAGAACCTTTTCAATAATGGAAATAGGTGAAAAATTATTTGCGCAACAAAATGAGCGATGAATTTCTCGCCAATTGGTTAACTATTTTATCTTAAAGAAAGTATGCTATTTGTATGGATGTAGACTCCATTATTGATGAATTCACTATATTAAAATTTAAAAGATCGAGGTGTATAATTGATATTGTAAAAAAAAAAGCTATAATTTTTTTATAATATTTAATTTTTCAATGAAATACGGCCCAATTCTCTATTGTGTCCTGGATCCGCCGCCGTAGCTATCATATCTTACTACTTGCTAGTGGTTAGTAGTAGCTCGATTTGGAATGGAATTACCATGTTCGAAGAGTAGGTACAAGTGTGAGTTTCCATCCTGGGGTTAAATCGTGATTGATATGAAGAGACTGAGAGAGGGGAATGTAGGTGGAAAAGATGGGGCTCCAAATTCCTAGGGAAGTACAGTACACTGTACACCCAATTGGTGGTTTCAACCAATAACCATGCAAAGCCTGACAAACCATTTGCCAGTTTACATACCTAAAAGAAAGCCACTTCCCCAACTTGCATTCTCAACTAGTACTCTCAAATAGCAGGCTCCCCACTTCCCCTTCTACAGGCCAGTGTCAAGAACTGCGGTCCAATAATTTCCCACCTCTCCTCGTGAAGGCTACAACATATTATAACCAGGCAATATATAATACTTGTGATATCTAGAGGAGGTGTATGGTAGGGCTGGAAAATTTGGTTTGGTTTTCCGATTTAAACCCAAATCGTACAAATAAGAATATCATATCAATGTCAGATTTTTGGTTTCGTATAGGTTTGTAATTTAACGATTTTGGTCTCACCTGAAGCCGAAAACCGATAAGAAACCGCGCGAGTTCAAAACTTCCTCTAACCGAAACTA